CGCTTACATGCGCCAGATTGCGGGATTGTCTTGCATTCATGAGTTCCGTATGTATGGCCTGTTATTCGCAACATAGCACCAAATAGTATACATCAAGAGTGAAAAGTGTTGAAAACGAAGGTATATTGAGCAATTTTACTTCGACGGCTTTGGATGTTTTTCCTCTTTCATTGATCTTTGACTTCCCAATTTGCAGCTCCTGCCATGTTGTCTAGTCAATCTGGCTGGGACTGTGAAGCCGCCATTGATTTCTCACAGCCCGCGACGCCAAAGCGTCGGCATAAGGCAGCCAGCCCATGCTCTGCTCGCCATGTCAAGCAGAAGGCCGCGCGTATCACATTTTCTCGCAGTATATCATGAAATCGTGTCATTGCTCAAAGGCAGTTCTAATGCTGAATGCAAACAGCCAGATCTAAAACCCATGACCGTCTACCCGTCAACGTTCGCCATCGCTAGACCCCCCATTATATGTGTATGATTCGTTTAATATTGAAAGTACCCCGTGTAAACTCCGGCAGTCATCATAATGCATCGTCAAGAAGCATCTCAGATCTTCTCGACCCAGGCGTCACCCTGCTTCTTCTCATCCAGGGCACCCTCCTCGCCCTTCTCGACCTGCTCGACAGTGGTGCTGGGGGCAGACTTGGGCGCGAGGATGTTCATGCCCTTGCGGACCCAGTGGATGCACGCATAGCCGAGGACGAAGATGAGGCCGATCATGGGCACGACGTAGCTGATCCTGGTGCCCTTGGCGTCGGCAATGGCGCCCTGGATGGGAGGGAAGACGGCGCCGCCGGAGACGCCCATGACGAGGATGCCGGCGCCGCGGCGGGTGTGGTGGCCGAGACCCTCGGTGCCGAGGGTGAAGATGGTGGGGTACATGGGGGCGAGGAAGAAGAAGATGGCGATGAGGGCGCCGACGGCGCCGCCGCCCTTGCCAACGCTGACGTAGGCTGTCAGAGCTGAGGCCGCGACGGCGTAGACGACGAGGATGAAGTCGGAGCTCAGGAAGGTGGCGATGCCCGTGGCGACGAAGCGGCCAACGGTGAAGGTGATGAGGGCGTAGCTGAGCATGGTGCTGCCCTTGGAGGTCGTGAAACCGCCGTTCTCGTGAGCGTAGTTAATAAAGAAGGTAGCGACTACATCGGCGTTAGTTGAGCTTCGAGGGAAGTGTAGAGAGCTCTGGGAGACTTACTGGTAACCTGGGCACCGACGTAGCAGAGCTGGGCGAAGAAGGCGGCCCACATGTTGTACTGCTTCCAGATGGAGCCCTTGACCTGTCCATCAGAAGACTCCTCAATGGTAGCCTCGGAGATCTCAGGCAGCTTGGCGAAGAAGAACATGATGGCGACCGCGACACCAGCGCAGGCGACGGCGAGGTACACGAACTGAACATTGGTAAGGCTGTTCTGGTTGGCGCCGGAGAAGAAGAACTTGGAGGCGATGAGGGGACCGATGAAGGAGGCGACACCATTCCAGGACTGGCAGAACTGGAGGCGGGCCGAAGCGGACTCGGGCTTGCCAATGACAACGGCGTACGAGTTGGCGGCCGTCTCGAGGGTAGCGAGACCGCAGGCGATGACGAGGATGCAGGCACAGAAGCCGCCAAAGGCAGCACGGCCGTTCTCAGGCTTGGCGGTAGCGACGACGGGCCAGAAGAGAATGGCGCCTAGAGAGTAGAGGCCGAGACCCATGAGGATGGTCTGCTTGTAACCGCGGCGCTTGAGGCACTCGGCGGCAATGGGAGAGAAGAGAAGGTAACCGCCGCCAAAGTACATGACCTGGAGGCCGGTGGACTCGAGGCGGGTAATGCCGAGGACGGTCTGGAAGTGCTTGTTGAGGACATCGAGAAGGCCGTAGGAGAAGCCCCAGAGGAAGAAGAGAGAGATGATGAGGGAGAGAGGGAAGATGAGGGCGCGACCAGTGAGGTAGCCGCCAGCCAACTGAGGCGCGGCCGAGGGGATACCGCCGCCAGCCATGGTGGTGATGTGTGTGTAAGGGAGGTGAGTGGAGAGAGTTTGTGAGAAGGTTGAGCTGAGGAAGAGGAAGCTCGAGACTCAGGCAGTGAAGCTGATGATTGTGTTGAGGATGAGGATAATGAAAGACCTTCTGGAGTTGGCACCACAATGATCTTATATCTCGACGACAATGACTTGAGCTTGACTGACATGGCCCATCTCTGGGGTATGGTTCAAGCTTTGCTCCAGCTCCCCCCCTTTGCCCCCCAATCACCCCCAATCACCCACCCCCATCTGGAGAAAAAACGACTAAAGCGGTTGCATCACACTAGCTTCGTCCCAGCCAAAACGCAGAGCACCGGGGACTCCATGGGATGCAATGGAGTCTGGCCCCAGGACGGACTCGCCCCAGGGGCCCCAAGCCGGATTGGGTTTGGCAGGCCAAGGGGCAGCTGGAGCTGGAGAAGGGGGGTCAGAACTCTGAACTGGCGAGAGAAATCGCGCCCCACCTATCGATGAACGACTATTCAAAAACCATATGGCCACCGTCGCGGGCTTTGTACCGGCACTAGACCCAAAGTAGCCTACCCGGGTTCACAGCGTCCTCAGAGTTCAGCGTGGTCGTGTACTGGTGGGTGGGAAGGTTTCCCCCCCCCCTGCGCGCACGCCGCAACCTTCGCTCATTCATACGGCCAACCGGCATGATCATGGGCCCCAAGTGGGACGCACTGCAATCCGGCACCGCGTGTGTGGGGGAGTGGAAACGTTTGGCGCTTGTGGTCCGGTCAGGCCCGTCGAGAGACTTTCCGGCCAATGGACATGGCAGAATGTAGCCAAGATTGCCAAGTATGCAAGTGCCGGCGGACGCTACGCCAGTCAAGGAAATGCTATGGAAGCATTAGCTAGCAACGCTAGAAGACTTCCCCCTGCTAGCTGTGTCTAGTGCCGTAGGTCTCGCCGAGAGAGCTCCTTGAGGCTGAGGAATGGCAGTCGAGCGATGCCCTCGACGAGACGCCGGTCAAGGTGGAAATGCCGCACTCGAGATATCATTGAGAGACGTGACTGGCTGAGTGCGACATGAACGGTCAAGGAATGACGCTACCATGTGGTCCCTGGCGATCTCGTCCAAGGTACCAGCCCTGTCATCGACGCCCGCTGAGACCGATGTCGCCATGTTGAGGCCTGTTGGGTGCTGAGACGTTGACGACCTCACCTCCAGTTCTGCTCCGCGGGGTGAAATCGGAGACACGTGTGGATGCACAGAGAGTCAGGACGTGGAGCGATAGCCTCTGTATGATGTGATGCGCGTGGGATGATCTCGCTTGCGTGCGAAGGGAGAGGGGCGTGAAGAAGAAGAAGAAGAAGAAAAAAACTTGTTTCGTTGGCCATCTTCAACCACCTCAACGCATAGAGATCGATCAGAATCACAGCTCTTGCTACGGGAGTGCTGTGAAAGCCGCAAAACCACGCCCGCCATGCTTGCTGTGAATGTGGCGTTTTAACCCACCACCAGGTCTGAACAGCCAGGCCTTGACTATATTCCCCAACCTGTCTTAGCTCAACAGGCGAGGCCTCGAGCCTGTCGGCGCCGCCAGCCCACTCGCTACATTGCTTGGAGGAGAGGGGAGCTATCGAGAGCTCACAGCTTGCAATGCGGCTCTGGAACGAGCAGAAAAACCACCACATCCTTGTGGCAGGTCTCGTTGAGGAAATGCACCCACCCATCTGGACCTGGCCATGGTTAGTGCAGCGTTGATCATCGGGCCGTTACTGAGCTGGATGTCCCTGGCGCCAGAGCTTGAGCCGCGCCATGGTGGCCCGCGACTCCACGCCAATGCTACCGTGGCTGTTGTAGTCGATGGAGCCATCGAACCGAGCGACGCGCTTGCCTGGATGGGGATGAAGATGAGAGCCTGATGCCGGCATCGCCTAGGCCATGGCGTCGTCCTAGGCCTACGGCCCTAGACCCTAGGCTCTTGTCCTCACAACGAGGGGAAGCTTAGTTGTGGCGGCATCAACTAAGGTTCGTTTTCGTGGTCTCCATGTGTTCGTAGCGTGGGGGAGAACCTGGAGAGTATGGAGTGCGTGCACCACATGGTCACAGTCTTGACTGAACACCCAAAGGGAGATGAGAAGTGAGGGGATTGGCCATGCTGGAACGTGTCCGCCTGAGGTGCTGCGGGGGAGGGGAAATGGGGAGACATGGTCTGGCCGGACAAGGGCATGAAAGTTTGAATTCTGCAAATCTGCAGCTCATTAGCATGGTGCCTACGCGTCGGGTCGACCATCAAACTGAGTCGTGTTGTTGCGGAGCCTTGGAGACAATGTGCCACATGGTGACGACAGCGAATGGAAGCCAACCTCGTCAATGTTGGTCGACATCTCGTGATCAGCCTGCAATGCCTGAGGCCTAGTCAATCTTCTCGTCAGGTCAGTCTGTTTTCGATGATTTGCAAAGTCGTATTGAGCTGACGTGAGGTGCTGCTGACCCACACCATTTACATGTACGCAAGATCACGAGGCATTGTTGACGACTTGGCCGTTCCTCTCGTTGAACTCAAATCTGCCCCGCCTCGTATGCCTCCTGTATTCTTTGTCTCCACAGAGATTCAGGTGAGAAAATTCCCCAGGGTTGTAATGGCCTTTCGTCGGCACTGCGGTTCGGCAGGCCGACAACGCTGGTTCCGGGTCGCTGTTAGGCAGATGACGATATTTCATAAACAATTGCAGCGCTGGGGAAATCATCAATTGGCGACCTGCGAACGAAGGAATCGGATTTCCGCTGATACTAGGCATCGACGTGCCGCGCATTACAAAAAAGCTGTGCTGATGGATTTAATGCGGAATGAGCTGTGCGACTGGACTTACGCATCACTAACTCCGACTGCCGTTTTCAGTGATGCGGCTGCGACAAATAAAACCACCGTCAGCGACTGACTTGCTGGCTCAGGAAACGTCGTGAGCAAGTAGAAAGGGAAATAGCGAGAACCGCCAAGCATTTCATCAAAAAAAAAAACGCAACCGCAATCGCCAACAAGCATCATGCACCTCATCCTCACAGGGGCGACAGGCCTCGTCGGATCCGGCGTTCTGGACGCCATGATTAAGATGAAGGACGTGACCAAGATTTCCATCCTCGCGCGCCGCCCAGTTGCCATGGCTGAAAATGCCAAGGATCCCCGCATCGACGTGATCATCCACAAAGACTTCAACAGCTACAGCCCAGAGGTCCTCGACAAGTTGCGGGGCGCCAAAGGCGTCGTCTGGGCCCTGGGCATCAGCCAGAACCTCGTTAGCAAAGAGTGAGTTTGTGGCCTCGGCCATGCAACATTGCCCCGGCCCTGAATCCCTCCCTCCGTTCTCCCTCCCCCTGTACCGTCGAGTCATGGTCTGACGGCCCTGGGGGCGTCGCAGAGACTATGTCAAGATCACCAAAGACTACACCCTCGCCGCCGCCGAAGCCTTTGCGCCCCTCGCTTCCGCCGACGAGCCGTTTCGCTTCGTTTACGTCTCCGGCGAGGGCGCCACGCATTCGCCCGGCCGCTTCACGCCCATATTTGGACGCGTCAAGGGCGAGACGGAGATGGCCCTGTCAGAGATGCGCGACACGCGCCCAGGCTTCCTGACCGAGTCGGTGCGCCCGGCGGGCGTGGATGCGGGGCACCACGCCGCCATCAAGCCGTACATACCGAATCCGGGGCTCATGTACAATGCAATGTGGGTGCTTTTCGCGCCCGTCATGCTCGTGGCCAAGTCGTTCCACTCGCCGACGGAGCCGTTGGGGCAGTTCCTCACGGGCATGGCGATGGGCAAGTATGATGGTCCGTTGGCGGCTGGCGGGCAGGGTGTCCAAACGTTGAGCGGGGGCTCGAGGGTCGTTTCGAACGTCGGGTTCCGCCGGTTGTTTGGGCTGTGAAATGGCGACAGTATCAGAGGGCATGTCATATTCTAGTGTGGTGTACGATGAGTGTAGGATCAGCCACTCGGCAAGTGCGAAGACTTTCGCAGTAAGAAGCAAGAAGCCCGCTACATTGAGGTGACAGCATAATCATTCTTGGTAGGAAACCAGACCATTACTCGAGGCATAAACTTTGTCAATAGTCTGGGTATACTTTCACAGGGATATTGGTGAAATTACTTGGCTAGATGCATCTCAAGACTCATCTCCACATTGCACTCCGTGTCACCATCAAGCCACTGACCTGATTCGGCCGACGCCAAACAGTCCGCCGTACGCGCCTGGGTCATCGGTCCCTATGTCAGACCCTGTCTCGCTGCCGAAGTCTTTCACTGCTGCTTCTTCACCTTCTGCTCTCCTGTCGGCCCATAGATCTTCTCCTTCACGACGCCTCCCACCTTGATCAGGATCAGGATGATGGCAATGACAGTGGCCGACTCCATAAACCTCAGCAGCAAGCTCGAGATGACCTTGAGGATTCGAAAGAAGGCCAGTTCCCAAGCGGCGAATTCCTGTTCGGCTTTTTCAGGCATCTTGGATGAGGGGGTGCCAAGACGATGACGACGCTGAATACGGAGGACGAGATGAGAGGCTCAAAGCTGTTGCTCAGCTGAAAGATTCTGCGACACGATCAGTAAGGAATCCAGTCTCAAGTTGATCGAATGACCCACAAGTGATAGAACAGCAGTCGAAGAATTTCATGAGAGAATGGTAATCTGAGGGAGCATGGCCAACCTCGTTGGTCGTGTGACGGCTTTGTTTTGCAGGATCCTCCGAGCGGGTCAATTTTTAGGAATGGCTGGCCAATGATGCAGCTAAGATGGTGCCCAGAGAATGCCCTTCTTGGCATGATAATCTTTGGCGCGGTTGAAACGTACGGACTCAAAGCTGCTCAAGTTGGTCGTGTGCTTGTGTCGAAAGTGCCTAGAAAAAACGACCTTGCGGATGGGCTCAAAGGGTCGCCCGAGAGGGCCGCATCTTCAAGCCGGGACACGGAACCGGGTCTAGATCCCAATTGCCCTATCCGAGGCCGATTTTCATTCGGGGTGATGCCGGACCTCCCATTCAAGCCACGGAACCCAACGTCTACATCTCTGAACGAGCAGAAATGCTGATTGATCCTTTCAAGATAAAGACGTAGCCTGACACTACCATTTCATTCTATGATTATGGGTGACGCACTTTTCAGCATGATGTCAATGCAGCTCTAGTATGAGCATACACGTCACGACCGGATCAGTTGGATTCGGTTCCAAATCCATTCAATGTGATTTCTTCACGTCAACTCCCCCGAATTCGGAAGCCTACCTCTGGCAAACATCAAAGAGCCTTCCCAGAAAGCTGGCTAATTCAATCCTTCACATATTAGTACATCGGTATGCCTTCTGAGCAGCGTCCCCTCGACATCACCTGCCCTCTCATCACTGGCGGCGCAGGCGGAATCGGCAAAGCCCTCGCCACATTCTTCCTCTCCCAAGACCAAAAACTCATCATTGCCAGCCGCACCGAGTCCAACCTCAAGGCAGCGTGCGACAAATCGGGGCGACGGCCGACTTATACCCTGGATACGAGCGACACGTCCTCCATCCCCTCCATCGCGAAACGTCTCGTTTCCCCTACCCAGAGCTCGACTGCATCATCAAGAACGCCGGCGTGCAACGCCCCCTGAATATCGCACCCTCGGTATCGGCGCAGGCCGATTTCTTCGCCAAGGCGGACCAGGAGATTGACATAAATATCCGCGGGCCGATGCGCCTGGCGCTGGCTCTACCTTCGTACTTGTAGTCGAAGCCCGCGGCAGCAGTCATCAACGTCAGCAGCGTGCTCGGTTTCATATCCCTCTCGGCCATCAACCCCCTCTCCAGCGGCACCAAGGCGTGGCTGCACTTTTAGTCAATGAACCTGCGCACGCAGCTGCGACAGGCATGATCAAGCGTCCGGGTCGTTGAGATTGCGCCGCCCACGGTGGAGACGGACTTGCACCGTGAAAGGGAAAATCCGGATGACAAATAAAGGGCTACGACCCTGGCGCAATGCGCATTGCTGAGTTTGTGGAAGTGGTGGCGGCGAAGCTGGAAACGGGCCACGAGATGATTGTGACGGGCTCGTCGGGAAGTGGCATGCTGAGTTTCTAGCAAAGTACCAGCAAAGTACAGGAGATGACAAGTGAAGGGAACTAACTGGGAGATGGTCCAAAAAAGTGATGCTGTGGTTGGCAAATGTGGAGGAATGAGAAACAAAGCTCGTACACATGGGGTGGGCATGTCACTCGGTACGCAACTGTCCAGGCATTAGGATAACAAGAGGTAGAGAGTAAGCCAATTCGAAAAAGGAACAAAATCTAGTTTTACGTATTTGACCCAGTCTAGACATTATACGCTACTAATAGAATAGAATAATTATCAGTGCTGCTGAAGAGGCTGAATATCATCTACCTCGCAGCCCTGGCAATGCTGTTCGCCCGGCTTGCCGAGGGTGTTCCTCTGGGCGTACCGCGAGGAGTGACACGGCTCTCGCCAAAGAACCGGTTCTGCTGGCTGTACCGCCTGGTGCCCATCTCAGGCCGAGCTCCGGAAACCTCTTCATGCGTGGCCACGGAACCTTGTGAATGTTAGCAAAGCGCAAGAAAAAAAGATAATGGCAAACAGGGGGCAGACTCACTTCGCCTCCTCTCAGGCGGACGGTACACGCTCAACCTGCGCTGATGCGTGCCTTCATCATCGCGTTGCTCGGCCAGTTTCTGCGCAAACGGCGACCGCTTTCGCAGCGTGGGACCCTTCCAGTAGATGACATAGACAGCGAGTACCAGCAGAAGTGCGATGCAGAAGAGAATGGTGCTGGCGTATTCTAGATTGCGCCCGGACGACGCGCCAATGTTGGTGAAGAAGGGTGTCGCAGGCACGGTCAGGACACCGGCGAGGAAGTCACGCGCCCATCCGTTGCCGCCCGTCGCTGAGGCAGAGTACGGTCCGTAGGCGCAGATCATGTAATCAATAGTGGCCATGTAAATGGCATAATTCGCAATGCCGACGATGGCGGCGAAGATCATGGAGCCGATCCAGTGAATTGGTGGGCCTTGGATCGTCCACGCGAAGCCGATGAGGCCGATTGGAAGGCAAGGGGCGGTGTACAGGAGGAACCACAGACGGGACTCGTACTGCGCGCGCTCATCATTGGGGTTCTCGCGGCGTTCCTTGATGTTTCGTTTGATGGCGGGGATGAAGAGCAGCCAGGCGACGACATAGCCGATGCCGATTGGAATAAACGCCAGACCGATGGCTACGGTGCTAAAGTGCCACTGATCGTATACCAACGCAAAGGACTGGATGAACATGAAAATCAGGGCGTCTGAGAAACCCGACAGAAGTGAAAGGACGAGAACGATTGGTTCCGTAAGAAACATCTTGAAAGGACGAGTCCAGGTGATGAGAATCTCCTTGGCAGAAAAGCGCTCGCGGAAGGGGACAAGCTCATCGGGGCCCCAAATGTTGGGCGTTCCGTTCTTTCTGCGCTTCTTGGCGATGCGATTCATCATGATGGTCGTGCGTGTCTCGGGAACGGTGAAGAAGTGAACAGCTTGGACGAAGCCGCCGAGGATGAGTTGGATCCAGATGGACCACCTGGAATGTTCCCGTCAGTCGTCTGTTCACTGGCAACGAGTTTGCAAATCCCACTCACCTCCAGTGGAGATACTCCTCGGTGAAGCCGCCAACGATGGGGCCCAGTACGGAACCGCCTACGGATGAAAAGACCACATACGCAACAGCGTATTGCTGCGTATCAGATTCCCACATGTCGGCAATCATGCCCAGCGTGACCGAGCCGCCAGCAGACGAAAGACCGCCGAGCGCCCTGCCGACCATGACGGTGGCAAAGTTTGGCGCCAGCGCAACAGGAAGCTGCCAAATGTTCACGAGGAACAGAGAGAGCTGCAAGACAGGCCAGCGGCCAAACTCCTCGGACCACGGCGCCCACAGCTCGCACCCGAACGCGTACATCACGAGGAAGATCATGGCGCCGCACCGTGCCGCCTGCGCGCTGACGTTGAACTCCTCCGAGATGCCGGGGATGGCGTTCGAGTACAGCGATGTGTTGAAGTTCATCGAGACCTGCACCCAGAAGATGACGGTGAGGATGTACCACTTCTTCCAGTTGGGGAAGCTGTAGCCCAGCTCTTCGTAGCAGTCGTCCTCGGTGATTTCGTACTTGTCGTTCGTCCCCAGCTTCTCGAGGTTGCCGTTGCGGCCCCCCGCGCCGGCGGTGCCGGCCTGGTCATTATCGCTTGTGCTGTGGCTATTTCGCTCGTCTGGCTTCTCCGAGACTGCGCCGTCTGCATTTTGTGTAAACGCGCGGTCGAGACTGGCTTGCGGTATGACCTCTGGGGGTTCCTCTGTGAAGTGTGTTCTTGTCATGGTGGGAGCAACACCTTGCGAGGCTGTCGACTAGGGGGGAGGGACTGCAGACAACGCTTTGATAGAGGGTATCAGACTATTTCAAAGGAAAATGGGGCTCCTGGGGAAGTAAAGACAAACATTGAGGGGGAGCAATACGCGGCGCGGAACGAAGAGCATATAAAGAGGGACGTGACGATCTCCCAGCTCGGCGCCGACTGAATTTACATCATTGTGCTTCCGTTTACAAAGCTATCTTCTCGGATTGCCCATAGTCAGCACGATTGCCATGAGCCGCATCCACACTGACATCACGATGTGTTGGAGACCCCGGATGATCCAGTATGTGATGTGGGATTTTTTTTGTGTCAGACTAAGGCCTTGCCGTTGTAGCCGGAGCTCCATCTACGCTACTACGAACGAGCCGCTGCGTCACCGGCGACACCATATGCAGAGCTCATCGCTCGATCTGGAAACTTGCCTTGACAGACTATCTACGGCTTCCCGGTGGCGGCCACAACGTGAAAGCCCCCAGGATCCTCGTCACGAAGCACAACAGCCTGTTTGTACTCAAATCTTGGCTCTGCGATATCCTGCTTCAGCGCTTTGCACGACTGGAATGTCGAACACATAAGACATCAATGGCAGATTGGTCGGGCCTCTCCAAGGAACATCTACCCGAACGGCAGTCGGCAGATGATCGGCAGCCAAGTGATGTCACCCGAGGCTCACACGCTGTTGCCGTGGCGAGCTTATTCGCGGCCGCGTCTGGAAGCGGATCTAGCCCTACCTAGCGGCGAGCGAACCCGGCTGGATCGGCTTGCCGGGCGCGAGACACCTTGGCGAAGGCTTGACCTCAGGTCCACGTAGGGCCGAACGCTTCCGCATTCAGTTGATGAACACTTCTCATAAGCCCGTTCGGGCCACAACTTGAGCTCATTGGCTTCGCAGGGCCATTCAACGTGTTTCCGTCGTGATGCACTGATTGAACCAATGCACGACCGCACAATCATGGCTCCTGCTCAGTAATGTTGTTCAGCCTGGGTTGCAATTGAGCAAGGTTTGACTGGCCCTGTTCGTCGGTATATGCGCGCAAAGCATGTCGCCGCATAAGTCGCCTCGGTGCGCGCCGGCCGGTGAAGAGCTCAAATTGCGCAAAGCCCTGTTCCGGCAGGAGGTCGAGGCCATCCATTGTAACCCAGCCCTTGTGAGAAAGTTTGCGAACCTGGTCGAGAATGGGCGTGTCGAGTGTTTTGTACCCAAGATCGACGAGGACACCGCCTGTAGGGCTTTCCAGCCAGGCGGATGGTGCCACGAAATTGGGTGCTGGCACATCGCCGATACTGTGCGTCGGGATGCAGGAAACTATGAGAGTTGGCGACCGGAATTCTGCTGGCCATGGCTCGTCGAGCTTTCCAAGGACGTGGAAACGTGTTTCGATTTCCGAGCTGGCGCTCAAAAATGGCAGGTCGCGCCGAGAGAGGAGTTGTGTGTAATGGCTGACCATCTTCTCCGCATTGGCAATTGTACGATTCCAGACCACGATGTTCCTCACACCAAGCTGCAGCATGGAGTAGATGGCCGCTCTTGCCATACCGCCAGCACCAATGATGAGGCCACAGCTGGTCGGACGCACCGCGTTCGCCGGGGACAGTCCACGGCGAAGACAGGCCCGGATGCCGACCCAATCAGTGTTGTCTCCATACAATGCCCGGACGGGACCGGCGCGGTTGCGACAATTGAACAATTTCTCGTCCTCGGGAATCGTGCCGTCTGGATTCAGTCGTCGGACAGGGATTAGTGTATTGACCGCACCGATAGCCCGCGCGTGACGGCTAAGAGAATGCGTCAAGGTGATGATTTCGACCTTGAAGGGCAGGCCGACTGAGGCACCGGCAAAGGACGGGTCCTCGATCAGGTCTTTCAATCCCCGAAGTGTCGGCGTGGAGTAAGGGCGGTAATCGTGGGGGATCCCAAGAGCCTGCAAGGCCGCGTTGTGCATGGCTGGGGAAAGACTGTAGTCAACCTTGGCACCGACAACATAAAGTTTCATGGGATCGAACAAGAATGATCCATACAATGCCTGAGTCGCCTGCTGCGCAGTGATAAGAGGCTGGCCCAGATCATCGGGTGCACCACCATTGTTTAGTCGAGGCTCCGAAACAACACTTGTGAGGACGTGGTTCATGCAGGCTGAGTGTCGTCCCCGTGGCCCTGAGTTGTACGCGACTAAAGGCATGTGGCGACCATCCAAAGCCTCAACCTGTCCCTTGAACCGATCGACGTCGAAATTGTCCTTGATGGTCGTCACTGGCTTGATGAGACGAACGACATCACAGCCTTGGCTTCGGGCACGGTGGTAATGTGAGAGCCAGACAGGATCATGCCATGTCGGGCCGTTGACCGCAGCACAGGTAAAGTGTGCCATGATCTTGGATTTCCTCTTCAAGGCGACGACATGAGACATTTCATAGTCGCCCAGCCTCAGATCGACGGTAAGATATTCGGGTACGAGTCGCAGACCGTGGAAGAGGTATTCCATGTAAACTGTTTCAAGGGACGAGCTGTCGAGCGTGGTTGCTGGCAGAACGACGTGATAGATGATGGGGATGACGGTGCTTCTTCGTATGTAGCCGATTACTCTTGAAATGTCATTGGCTTTCTCCGAGTCGAGCGTTGGTGCCTGTCCCGTCTTGCTCACCGCCAAAGCAATGTCGTCTACCACAACTTCAATGGCATCAGCTCCGGTCTCTAGATCCTCAATATCGACCTCGTCACGAAGTAATCGCGAGAGAGGCACGGAGAGGGCATAAGTGAAGCGTCGATCCTCGGTGGGAATGGAGGCCAGAGGAAACGCAGACTCGATGAACGGGATGGAACCGGTCGGCATGACGAGTGAGAGGAATTTGAGAAAATGGCGCTCGGCACGCTTCAAAGTCAGGTATGGCGCTGGTGGCTTTTGGTTCGAGGGGACGCTGCCCCTGGGTGAGTGCGTCTTGGACGCCTCGACTGGTGACTCGGATACGTTGAAGAACTCGAGGTTACTACAGCTGCGGAAGATGGCGCTGCTGGCGTTCAGTAGATTGCGCGTCTTGTCGTCGTCGTCAATCTTGAGATGTTCCTGAATGGCTTTCGCGTCCCGGAGAATGTGGACTACTGGATGCGTCCTGGCGAAATCACGAAGGAGGCTTTGCACAGCACGCTCCATCCATGAGCAGACGATGAGACAGCCTTTGGCGTGTTGGGTCAGGACCTCGCGAAGGATTTGGGCCTGGCGACGGTGACATTCAACGGGTCCATGTTCTCTCTTGTAAGCCAGACTGGTCGAGCCGGTGGCTTGTTGAAATGCCTTTTCGCAGTCGAGGGCTCTCCTCTTCATGGCCGTCGATGCAATAATGGCCAGCGTCGACTTGCCAGAGCCTCGAATGCCAGTCAGGACGACAGAGACATCGGCGGGAAAGGCAGGTGGCTCGCTAGGTCGGTGGAGAATGGGACCAGGCGTTGAGTCTCGGGATATATCTCGTGATATGTCTCGCGATATGCTGGTCGCTGAAAAAGCAGAGTCAGCAATGGAAGACGACGTCGAGGACGACGATGTCGCGAAAGGTATCCTACAATGACCTCCATTGTGTCGCTCTGGTGCAGATCGGGTTCCGATACCATCCGACTCGTAGCCGTTGACTCGAGTGATCTTGCGATGCAATCCGTGTTCGCCATCCAGCTCAACGGCTGATAGTGGCCTCTTGATGCCTGCGATGGTCATGGCGAACGCAGAAGAGGCACGCACAATGTCGAGGGTCGAAGACCAGCTATGTGGGAGGCATGAAGGCACGGATGCATCGAGTCGCGCGCGTCGGCCAAAGCTGATGGAGGTCGTGGTCGGTACTCGAGGAGTGGAATCGTGGGGAGTGTCAAGGTCGGGGTAAGGGTGGGTGGCCTGACTTGGCGGGACGGTGGGTGTTTGGCGAAGGCGGCAGAGCGGATCGAGGGTCGTGATGCCTGGTGGTGGGACAAGCCGTGGCGGGGGATGCCTTTCCTCTCGCCGCCTCGACTGCCGACCTTCCAGGCCGAGAGGCTCCCTGCACCCAGCCTGAAGAAGGTTTATCCGGGAGGGGCCAAGCTAGCAGGATACCTCGGGACGCAGCAAGATTGATGCGCCAGCGGAGGTACCGAGGCTGCCCCCCCCTGAAGGCCCTGTATTTTGCTCACTGTAGCATGCTGCAGCCAGCGATCCCAGCACTGAAACTTCCCCAGAATCATCCCCCGCTCTCCACCACAATCGCGCCTCCCCGCAACGTGGTGTCGGCCGGCCAGGGATTTCCAGCTTCTCCTCACCAGATCGACGAGTCGCAACCGCTGCATTGCCAATTCCTTGCCGACGTCACACTACCTTCACAGCAGCACATGCCATCATCATCGTATCCCAAACATCAAGCACGAGCGACATGATCCCTCGATCATGATCATTGCATGGTACGAAAGGTCACGAGAGAAGCCAGCTACCCGTATGCTTCGCGTCACCTAGTTGTCCCCAATCCGGGCAGCGCGTGTAGAAAGAGGACGACGGCCCCGAGGCACGCCAATCCGCCCCGAGAAGCATGCCTCCCAAGCGAAAGACCAATGATGTCGAAACCAATCCGACGTCAACCTCTGGCCCAGTGAAGAGGCAGAGAGTATCACGGGCCTGCGATCAGTGCAGAAGGTGAGCCTTGAACAGCTGCCAGGCCAGTCGCCGGCTCCTCAGTTTGGGGTAAAACGCCATACATGGGGGGCTCAACATGATGCGCCTGGATCCTACGTCGAACGAACATCCGGCTGACAAACAGCAGCGCGCGAGAGAAGTGCGACGGCATCCAACCGCAGTGCTTCGCCTGCGTCTCGCTCAACCGGGAGTGCACCTACAACGTCGCACCCAAGAAGCGAGGCGTCCAGACTGGCCTCATCCGCACCCTCGAGTCGGCTCTCGTCTGGGTTTTCGAGCAGTTCCCCGGCACTGAGGCTGCCTTGAATGACTTGCTGGCCCAGGAATCCGGCCCAGAGTCCCTCCTCATTGGTAAGGAGAGCGAGGCCGGTAGCCGTCTTCATCGACGATGGAGAAAGTCCAAAACATGCAAGGAGATTGATCGACTCTTGTCCGGCAGAGATGGCTCGAGCCCCAGGATAGAAGGATCCGAGGAGGATGAGTCCAGCACAGAAGCAGATCAGCTGGGTCAGTCTTCTGGAAAGGGACGCAGTGTGCCATCTACCAATGATACTACGGCGAACCCGGCAAATCGAAGCTACAAGCTGCCCAATAATCATTCTCGACTCCTCGATATTTACCTGGCTTATACCCATTCCTGGTTGCCTATTGTCGACAGGAGCCGGCTGCTCAATCTCGTGGCTGCGCAACACTCGGACGAGATTCGAGATGCAGAGCTATGGAGCGCTCTCGCAGTTGCTGCATACCAAGATCCAAGTCATACGACAAACCCGTCGGTCATATATTCCACAGCAAGAAGCTTGCTTCCATTAATAGGCGATTCGCAAGCAAGTCTTCCCAAGGGACGCACATCAAGCATGACGAGCCAACGACACGGCAAAGAGTTAGCTGTCGATGGCGAAGACCAGGCAGCTGAGGAGCTTGTGGTTTTACAATATGCAAATGCATTCCTTCTTCTCTCCTTGGTCGATTTCGGCCAGGACAAGCCGTCCAATGCTTCTCTCTACATTGGTCTCGCAGTCAGGACCGCCATGGGACTTGGAGACTTGGCTGCATCTGCGACTCCGCAAAGCAACCACTTGCAAAGCAGAACAGTTGGGGCTTGTTTCTTACTGGATACGATTGTATCCGTGCGTATGGGCCATACATCACATCTGACACCAGCTTCACTTGATAGTCTGACCCCAATATCTGAAGAGGGGCCAGAGGAGTGGGATCCATGGGCTCCTGAGCCAGGTTTTGGCTCCGAGGTCAGCATCGGCTCCGGTGATTCTTTGCAGTCTGTTCAGTCTCTGAGCTCTTTCAACCAGCTTTGCCGGTTCGCTCGTGTTCTGGGAAAGGGATTCGCAGGGTCACATACCCCCCGCTCGGCAGAACTGGCTGCAGCATTGGATCAACGCTTCTCTTTCTGTAATTCTATTTTGGGAGGATCGACCCCTTTTCTCCCAACAGCCTTTCTTCTACAAGCCACCTTTTTAGGTGCCACCTTGGCATTAAATCCAGATGCTCGCGTCTCTTTAGTTTGGACACTTTTGGAGGCGGTAGAAAACGCATGGCATCACCTCGGACCTGGGACATCGCCTTTACTCATCACCTTTATGGGTATGGCAAACCGACGTACGAAAGGTCTGGGAGGAGAAGACAAGGACAGATGGGACTCCCTTATGACCAGACTGAAGGCAACGTGGCAGCGGGCGACCGAACCCTCGCAGGCATCTTCTGTAGCGCCACCAGCACCAAACCTGGATGTGTACCAAAGTCACTCGCCAGCGCATCGGCACAGTCTGCCCATGGCTACACTGTCGCAACAAAATCAGGAAGCTCAACATCCGCAGCAGCAATATCACGCCTTGCTTACACCTTCGGAACATTATCCGACATCTACAACCAGTTTCTTGGGTGGAGGGACGGCAGCAAGTCCTTCTACTTCGCGCTCGATCCCATTCACGCCCGGCAGCAACCACATACCGGGGTTCTCTGCTGGTATGATGAGCCCGATGCTTCAGATGCCCCATTACATGCTTCTACCAGGGCACGACTCGATGATTGACCACGATGCCATCCTCGATGAGCTAGCTGCAATAGACTGTACAGATAGTATGGACGCAGACCCCCAATTCATGGCGAACTTGGGGTTCGCGCCGGGGTCGGATTTCACAGACATGCGTGGAGAATTTGGAGCGTTATGAATCTTAAGCGGAATTTCAATCTTACCTGATCCCATGGCCCGAGATCTGTTACGGCACATGTGAGCCAATACGGCAGTTGTTTCTATTTTTTTCATTTCCTGCTGCATGCCCCCGGAATTCGGAACTTTCTATTCCCATGGATCTGGACACATGCCAGGGGACAATCAGCCAAGGCTAATAACCTATGGTTGAAGACATATCCATGGAGAGGTCCTCTATTGCCTCGGTCATGTGACCCCAGGACCAGGAAGCCGTCTAGAGAGACTCGACCCGTGTGGGACAATTCATTCAGCGAGCAAAGGTCAAACACAAAGACGGGAGGCGAGGCGGCTGAAAGTTCTGACGGCTCCATCCATCTTGATCGAGTCATTTTAGTGGCTACGCTATCGCCTGAAACGGGAAACCCGTCGTGCATTATCGAGTCAAGCCACGCTGGATGAATGTTCATCCACGTCAGCAAGGATGCTGCCGGGCGACGTCACATGGAACTGCCGGGATCCAGAACAACCTGGCGCCCCCCGGCATAGGGACCAATCTTGGATGGCTGGGCGGATGCTGATCGAGGTAGGTGAGCCCTGGGCAACTTCAATCCGATCCCGCTGGTAAGGGTTCATCCTGCACGCCGAAGAGACTTCATCACACACTGGCGGCATCACGGCCTCTCACAGGAACGTCTCACACTCTACCCCGGATTCCCACCCACTTGGCTGAGCTGGGGTAAACGGCTCTCCGCGAAGTCAAACAGGGTTGAGCCACGCCTGTACTACACAACTCCGCTGCACCCTCCACACAGACGGCCAACTCGCGTCCTGGACTATAATACCTGCAAAACCTCGAACTTTGGCAAATCCATCCCTTCCTCACCCTCCTTCATCAACCCAGCACACTCTCCCCTTCTCTTGTGCCTTCCCCACCCACTCGGGTATCCTCTCTTCTCTGCCACACAAACCGAAGGGTGCACTCTGAGTCACCATGGGTATCCTCACTCTCAAGGAAGACAGGCCGACGCCTAAGGCCGTCTACAACTGGCGCGTCTACATGTGCGCCTCGGTCGCGTCGTTCGCCGCGTGCATGATCGGCTACGATTCTGCCTTCATCGGCGGCACCATCGCCCTGAAGTCTTTCCAGGAAGAGTTCAACTTTGCCCAGTACAGCGACAGCGCTCTTGCTCTGACGCGCGCCAACATTGTCTCCGTCTACCAGGCGGGCGCCTTCTTCGGCTCCCTCAGCGCCTATGTCTCGTCCTACTTCCTCGGTCGCCGCAAGTCTCTCCTCCTCTTCGCCCTCATCTTCACCGTCGGCGCCGGCATGATGTGCGGCGCCAACGGTGATCGCGGTCTCGGTCTCATCATCGGCGGCAGAGTTCTCGCCGGTTTCGGCGTTGGTGGATGCTCCAACATGACACCCATTTACATTTCTGAACTTTCTCCACCAGCCATCCGTGGCCGGCTGGTCGGCATTTACGAGCTTGGATGGCAGATGGGTGGTCTCGTCGGTTTCTGGATCAACTATGGCGTCGACTCTACCATGACCCCCGGCCACTCTCAGTGGCTGACGCCTATCGCTGTCCAGCTGATCCCCGCCGGTATGCTGCTTGTTGGCGCCGTCTTCATCCCCGAGTCGCCTCGTTGGTTGTTCTCCAAGGGAAAGAATGAGCAGGGCCTCAAGATTCTTTGCTGGATTCGGTACGTTTCAACTTAGCATATGCAGTCATCTATCAGATCGCTAACACAGAATTCAGTAACCTCGAGCCTACCGACATCTACATTCAGGAGGAGATGTCCTACATCAACGAGGACGTCGAGAGGTACCGCCGCGAGGTCGGTGCCGGTTTCTGGAAGCCCTTCGGCGCGCTCAAGCAGAAGAAGATCCAGTGGCGTTTCTTCCTTGGTGGCATGGTAAGTCCTATCATAGTTTGTTTCCGTTTCTGGCAGCGCTGACAATGGGCTTCAGCTGTTCCTCTGGCAAAACGGCTCCGGTATCAACGCCGTCAACTACTACTCGCCCACCGTCTTCCGCTCTCTCGGCATCCGCGGCACCAACACCGGTCTTCTCACCACCGGTATCTTCGGTGTTGTTAAGACGGTGCTTACTTTCGTCTGGATTCTGTGGATGATCGACCACATTGGCCGCCGCAACCTGCTCATGATCGGTGCCATTGGTGGTTCCATTTGCATGTGGATCATTGGCGGCTACATTAAGATCGCCGAGCCCCAGAACGCCGACGAGAACGCGGCCCTGACGCCCGGCGGCATCGCCGCCATCTTCTTCTTCTACCTCTGGACCGCCTTCTACACCCCTTCCTGGAACGGCACGCCCTGGGTTCTCAACTCGGAGATCTACGACAACAACACCCGTTCCCTCGGCCAGGCCTGGGCCGCCGCCAACAACTGGCTGTGGAACTTCATCATCTCGCGCTTCACCCCGCAAATGTTCAACTCGTGGGGTTACGGCGTTTACTTCTTCTTCGCCTCCCTCATGATCCTCTCCGTCCTCTTCGTCTTCTTCCTCATCCCCGAGACCAAGTCTATCCCTCTTGAGGTCATGGACAGGCTGTTCGTCACGAAGCCCGTGTGGCGCGCCAACCAGATTATCATGGCCGAGCTGGCCTCTGATGAGGGCGGCCTCCGTGCTAACGCTGAGGGAAACGTGATGGAGAAGGGATCGCAGGAGGGCGAGGTTGACCAGTACGAGAGGAAGCAGGACCTGTAGAGGAGGTTCTACCGGCTGCTGGAGTCACAGTTGTGTTACTAGTAAAGATGAGAGGCGTCCCTTGCGGCGCGGTTGTATGCTGATAGATGTGGGAGATGTCTAATGAAGCTTTTTTGCAAACCCAATCAGGAAATTTAAATAATGATGTCTTAATCAGTGCCGAGAAGTGAATGTTTTGACTTGTTCGAGGGCGTTAGAAAAACGGAAGTTGTTAGTGAAAAGCCTCAGGTCCTTAATCCTTGCGTTGCTAGCGCATCTTCTGGTATTGAGATCCTTGTGGCGCGATCAATTACCTCATCGAGTCCATTAGTAGGTATTTCGCGATGTTTACTGAAGTCGAAGTATTGTTAGGGAATACTCTCAAATTCTGGCCTGCCGGCGTCTGCGACTTGGCCTGGTTTGTTTCGCCCACACTTTTGTCCACAGAATACAGTGGCCCTTACTTGTTGCCATTCATGCAAACAGTCTCAGTCCCCAGCAGAAAGGAGATGAATGCCACTTGATCGATTCGGAACCATTACAGGCCGCAAATTGCGCAATGTCCCTGGGTATTCAATGATCCGTCCAGAGAACCACAAGAGCAACATATCATGCTCCCTTGACATGAGCCAAGCACGTTACCATGTGTCTGCCAAGATGGTTTGCCTGGTGAACAGGAAGTAGTTGCTGGGTCCAATTTACTGCATGCACTACCTTCATTCCCAGCATTGCTTGCACGTCTTTGTTGATGATTCTACTGTTTATTGCCTATCAAAACATGCACATAATACATCGCTATGACCCAACCCATTAATTTTCCCGAATTACAATTTTGACGCCTGTGCCAGTCTTGACGCGATAGCTTCCTGCACTTTCTTGACCGGCAGCTGGTCGAGTTCACGGCCAGTCCAGTACCGGTCCTGCTCGAGGCCCTGCCAGATCATGGCCTCGGTGCCGAGGATGACCTGCCACCCGGCGTCCTCCGCCAGCGCGCCCAGCTCGGTGAAGGGGGTAGGGTTGTAGCACATCTCGAGCATGGCGCCCTTGGTCTCCTTGCCGAGAAACGCCTCGATGACGGCCCGCGCCGCCTTCTCCTCGGCAGTCTGGGGCGTAAAGTTGGGCACACAGGCGACGATGGCGCCGACGCTGTCGAGCGAGGCGACCTCGGCCGCGTCCTTGATGTGACGGAGGCCCTGGCCGTAGCCGCGGGTGGTGCACTCCTCGATGACGGCCTGCACCTCGGCGTCGTCGCGGTTGACGAGGTAAATGTCTGTGACCTTCATCCACTTGCGCAGAGCATAGACGGCGGACCGGGCGGCGCCACCGCCGCCGACGACGACGGCAGGACGGTTGTGGAAGACGGCGTCGGGGTCTGCGACGTTCTGGTAGAAAGACTCGCGCACGCCGACGACGTCTGTGTTTGTGCCGCAGTAGATGCGAGAGCCGTCGGGGCGGTGGCGGATGAAGAGCGTGTTGCAGGCGCCGACATCGCGGCACTCCTCGGTCAGTTCGTCCAGGTGGGGAATGATGGCCACCTTGTTGGGCATGGTGACGGAGGCACCGTAAAAGTTGGGGTCTTTGATGAGCTCGAGGAACATGGGGATGTCGGCCGAGTCGAGCCGTGTTTGTTCCCAGTTCAAGCCAATCTCGTTGTAGATTGTGCCGTGAAGGAAGGGAGAAAGGGAATGTGTGATCTTCTGGCCGAAGAGGTAGCCATGGCGCTCAACGGCCTCACGCCTCTCAGCCTTGATGGTGTTGGTGAGCTGAGCGCTCGGGGTTATTGTAAGTGTCGCGGACATTGTGCGAAGAAGGATGTGATTTAGTGTGAGGGGGTGAGGTTGAGTGGGGGAAGACGTTGAGAAGAAGATGAGGCTCGATTATCTTTGTTTCTGAGACTCAATCGAGTGAAGCGATGGAGGGGAATGAACAGTGAGGATGTGGCAGACGGTTGATATGCATGCAGATATTGATACACTGAGTCGGGAAACGTGCGTTCTTAGATAAGGTTCCCTTGAGTGACGTTGTACGACGAATTTCGGTGGCGAGGGGAGCGAGTTTCCGAAGTTGATGGGTCGTATGGGGTTTGATCAAGATCCAGCCGTACCGTCTCCGCGAAACTGCCGTTCCTGGCTGAATGTTTGATGAATTTCCCCGGATGTCCTGGGGAAGAAGCGCAGCGTGGGCAGCGATCACGACTGGCACACTCTATCCCGCCGGCAAATCAATGTTCAGACTTCTCATTGACCCAGACAAGGCCGTCGGACCAGCCGTGGCACTGTTCAGCAGGCCAAGTCTCCATTTCAGGTGGGAAAACGCTGTGGAGTTGCCAAGGGCGGATCGACATTAGCGGCATCCGTCCGGGTAAGTCTTTATCCCATGGATTCCGGGAGAGCGCTTCTCCCGTTTGCCAGTGGAACCCGGTTTCTCCTCAGCCGGGTCATGGGAACGGCGGCATACACACACCCCTTGTTTCTAGAGACTCCACAACTTCCAGCTCCGGAGGTTGATCGCGCCCACCTCGTGGCTGTTGCGGACTGCGTCACCACGTAGCATCATGTAACGGCTAGTCTCGGCGGATCAATCCAGGTGCTACCAACGCTTCCCATTCACTCGAGGGCGAAATCTTTCATCCCGCTGACGGGCCATCCAATGCCTGCGGTTGTCCGTCTGGTCAAGGCTACCAACCACAAACGGAAGGTTGTGTGGTGCCTCGGGGAGGAACGTCGAACGAGCGTACATGGTTGACAGCGTAAGGCGGCGGCCCTGATATTCCCTTTTGATAGCTGCACGTCCTGTTTCTATACTTCGTTTGTATTTGTGAATACAAACGTCAGCCTGACCTTCACTATCATCAAACAATACCCCTGAATCTCCAGTTGTTTGCTCTCTACAGTATCAAATCCTGCCTCGAGCCTCTTTACCTCGTTTGTGTAACAAGGCCTATCTTTCTGATTCACCGTTGGCCATTCACCACAACTTGATACCTGAGTGGTTCACAGGGAGACTTATCGTTTCTTGAATGATTCACTGTCAAACCCATCACCTACTTAAGAGGGACACCTAGTGATCCTTCCTGATATCCACCGCACACCAACCACACTCAACCCATCTAGCACTGCAATACTGGCCATTCCTTGATCACCAAAGTCAACATGCCGTCACAACTCGCCATCAGCACCATGTCCTTGGGACGCTGCTTTGCCGGCCACGCTCTTGAACACAAGCTCGACATGGCAGCGAAATACAACTACCGCGGCATCGAGCTTTGGCACGAGGACCTCATGGACGTGGCGGACCGATACACGGGCGGCTCGGCGCTCGTGTCGAACCAGCTCACAGCGGCCCACCACGTCCGGCGTCTCTGCGAAGCCCGCAACCTCCACATCCTCTGTCTCCAGCCCTTCCAGCACTTTGAGGGTCTCCTCGACCGCGCGCAGCACGCGCGGCGGCTCGACGAGCTCCGCATCTGGTTCCAGCTCGCGCACGCCCTGCAGACCGACCTCATCCAGATCCCGAGCAACGTGCTGCCGCAGGAGCAAGTCTCGGCCGACCTGGCCGACCACATCGCCGACCTCCGCGAGGTGGCCGACATGGGGGCCGCCGAGACGCCGCCGCTGCGCTTCTCGTTCGAGTCCCTCGGCTGGGGCGCGCGCTGCGACACGTGGGAGGCGAGCTGGGAGGTCGTCCTGGGCGTCGACCGGCCCAACTTTGGGCTCTGCCTCGACACGTTCAACATTTGCGCGCGCATCTACGCCGACCCGACGTCGCCGACGGGGCGGCTGCCGCAGGCGGACGAGGCGGTGCGGGCGTCGATGGAGCGGCTCGTCGCGACGGTGGACGTGGCGCGCATCTTCTACGTGCAGGTCGTCGACGCCGAGCGGCTGCGGGCGCCGCTGCGGGCGGGCCACGCGTTCTACCACGCCGCGCAGCCGGCGCGCATGAGCTGGTCGCGCAACTGCCGGCTGTTCTACGGCGAGCAGGCGCGCGGCGGGTACCTCCCCGTGCGGGCGGTCGCGTCGGCCATCTTCCAGGGTCTCGGGTTCGAGGGGTGGGTGAGCCTCGAGCTGTTCCACCGGCGCATGTCGCAGGAGGACGCCGGGGTGCCGGAGGAGCTGGCGAAGAGGGGGGCGGCGTCGTTTGCCAAGCTCGTGCGGGACATGAGGATGAGGGTGGAGGAGCCGGTGCTGCCGGTGACGGCGTCTCTGTAGGCAAGCAGCAGTAGCAAGCACAGGGATCAAGCGGGGGTTGAGAGTAGCGTTGTTGTTTTCGATGTAATTCGGGTGTGATGATGTATTCACTTGTTCAATGACAACATTTTAAGTGTACTGACATGGATATACAGACAATATGGTACTGACAATATGACACTGAATTATGATACTGACATATGATACTGACATATGACACTGACATATGACACTGAAATATGATCCTGACATATGATCCTGACATATGATACGGCAAAAGAATACTGGCATATGATACGTACAATACGGCACCACACTGTTGCAGAGAAGACGAAACATGACTTCAATTTGTGGCAAAAAAATCTACACCCTGCCCTTCATCTTCATGTGGCGCGCCGCAAACTCAATGGCCGCCGTGTAGCCATAGGTGCCGAGGCCGCAGATGACAGCAACGGCCTTGTCGCTAAAGTAGCTGTGCCGGCGCCATTCCTCGCGGGCGTGGACGTTGGAGATGTGCGTCTCGACAAAGGGAATGTCGACGCCCAGCAGGGCGTCGCGGATGGCGACGCTCGTGTGGGTGTAGGCGCCGGGGTTGATGACGATGGCGTCGACGGCGCCGCGGGCTTCGTGGATGCGGTCGACGATGGCGCCCTCGTGGTTGGACTGAAAGGCCTCGAGGTGGACGTTGAGGCTGGCGGCCTGGGTCTTGGCCTGCGCGACGACGTCGGCGAGGGTCGTCGAGCCGTAGACGCCGGGCTCGCGGGTGCCGAGGAGGTTGAGGTTGGGGCCGTTGATGAGGAGGATGCGCGCGGCCATGATGCGGGTTTGTGTGGTTGAAGACTAGGGTCGAGGGCTATGAAGGCACAATGGGATCACAGTCATGAGACACAGTCATGAGACACAGTCATGAGAGGTTCCATGAGATGGGGCGTCCCATCTTGTTTTTCTCTGTTTTCTTCTTCGTTGCCGCTGCTGCGTACATGCCTCTATGTTTACCAGGCTAGAGTGACGGCCAGGCATGCGTACGGCCAGCATGAGTGCGGCCATGGCTGCCGACTGATGACCTCGGATGACCGGCCAGGAGACGTCGCGGCAACGAAGGACGGGCTCGGAAGAGTGTCGTCCAAGGCGCTGGATAAGTCTTCTTCCTGATGCCCCGAGAGAGAGAGCGAGAGCATAGCATACACGTGGGTGTGTACCCCATGGGCGGCAGCGTTGTCGTCACGAGATCCGCGCTGCAGCCACCAGATCTGTGTGGGGGGGCGACTGTTCGAGCATGTTGCAGAACAGGTCTTTGGCATTGCCTTTGATGAACATGATCCTGGATGGTCAGTCTGTGGGTTGATCATCGTGGTGAGGTCGAGATGTTCCCAGTACCTGGTGCTTGCTGGGTACCTACCTAGGTAGGTACATGGGCACCTGAGTGGCACCGAAGTACCTAGAGCCCCCACCAAAGCATGCCCCAAGCCCCCAATACCCCCCAAGCCCCAGCTCCCAAGCCCCAGCTCCCAAGCCCTGAAGCAGAACCCTGGAGCAGCACCAACCCGCCTGCGGCCCCTCAGCGGAACTCTGGCCGCCGATCTCGGCTGGCGGCGGCCTTGCCATTCCGATCGCAGCTTCCTGTCGCTGCCAGCCGCCTAGGCAGGTACCTACGTAGGTGACTGCCCTGGGTACCTTAGGTAGGCAGGAGGTAGGCAGGTAGGCAGGCAGGAGGTAGGCAGGCAGGAGTAAAGCTTGTTGGGAGGCTGTAGCAGCCACTACCTTCCTGCATCCAACACCTCTCCGTACCCATCTACAGCCTCCAGAACCACACAACATCATGGCAGACATCAGCGATGCCGAGCTGCACGAGATTTACGACTTTGCCGTCCAGCTCGGCAAGGACGCCGGCGACCTGTTGATGAAGTTTGCCATGGCCCGCTTCACCGGCGCCGCCGTCGGCGAGCAGGCCTTCGAGGAGAAGGACAACGCCGTCGATATCGTGACCAAGGTCGACCAGGGTGAGCAGGCCGAGGACTCAAGCCAGCAGACTTGTCATGCGGTGGACTGACGCGCGTAGACATGGAGGCTTTCATCCGGTCGTCCATCGAGAAGAAGTACCCCTCACACGCGTACGTGCCGTGGCGTCCTCTGCCTCCAGACAGCAGACCCTGTCGAGACCTTCTCCCCCGAGAGCCTCCTCCTCTAGACAGCAGACCCTGTTGAGACCTTCTCCCTCCCCCGAGAGCCTCCTCCAGACAGCCTCCTCCAGACAGCCTCCAGACAGCCTACACACACTCCTCAGACACTCCTGCAGACAGCCCTGACACCCACAGCTTCCTCGGCGAAGAGTCCTACTCGGCCGGCGCCTCGCGCGACTACCTCGTCACCGCCGCCCCGACCTGGATCATCGACCCCCTCGACGGCACCGTCAACTTCACCCACCTGTTCCCCCTCTTCTGCGTCTCCATCGGCTTCGCCCTCCACGGCCGCCCCGTCATCGGCGTCATCAACGCCCCCTTCCTCCGCCAGCTCTTCACCGCCTGCCGCGGCCGCGGCGCCTGGCTCAACGACACCCAGCGCCTGCCCCTGCTGCGCGACCCCGCCGTCCCCGCCCTGCCCGCCGCCGCCCCCAAGGGCTGCATCTTTGCCTGCGAGTGGGGCAAGGACCGCCGCGACGTCCCCGACGGCAACATGCACCGCAAGGTCGAGAGCTTCGTCAACATGGCCGCCGAGGTCGGCGGCCGCGACGGCAAGGGCGCCATGGTCCACGGCATGCGGAGTCTTGGGAGGTGAGTCTGCTTCCCGGCTTCGAGTCTGCTTCCCGGCTTCGAGTCTGCTTCCCGGCTCGGTGTCTGCTTCCCGGCTCGGTGTCTGCTCCCCGGCTCCGAGTCTGGTGACTTCTGGTGACTTCAGACGTGAGTCAAGGCCTCCATGCTGACGTGGCAGTGCGACGCTCGATCTAGCCTACACCGCCATGGGCGCGTTCGACATCTGGTGGGAAGGTGGATGCTGGGAGTGGTGAGTACTTCCCGACCGTTTCATCCACTTCGTCTCGTTCGAATCTGACACCCCCACAGGGACGTCGCTGCTGGCATCGCCATCCTCGAGGAAGCCGGCGGTCTCGTCACGACGGCCAACCCACCCGACGACGCGGCCACCGTCGACATTCCCGAGGCCAAGCTGGGCGGCAGGCTCTACTTGGCCATCAGGTATGCGGCCATCCCGAATCTCTGCGCCGTTCCCCTTGACGCTAACGCCACAGGCCTGCGGGACCCTCGGACACCGAAACCGGCCGGCAAGGACAGGAGAGGGTCGTCCGCGAGGTCTGGAGGAGGGTCAGGGAGCTGGACTACGCCCGACCCGGTGTGGAATCGAAATAGACGCGACGCAATACCCAATAGTACCTCATCATGTTCACCTGCCCGAAAAGTATCACGATGAACAGTTGGAAGAGTACTCATGTTAAGCTGATCAACCCATACAGCCAGCCGCCTTGGACGAAGCACCGCACTCCTCACAAAACACCAACGCAAAGGTAGCTGTCCGCCCACATCAGCGTGCAATCGGCCCCGATCGCCGGGTTCCACTTGACGAGGTCCGCCAACGTCACCCTGTACCGGTTCTGAATCGTCGCACAAATCTGCCCCTTCTCAACAAAGTGAAACGTCTTGCACGTCGCCACCATGCCCGGCTGAATCGGCGCCGGCGTCACGACACCCTCGCCCGGGTTCGTCGGCGTCGGCGTGAACCCGACGACACCGACGCAGGAGTAGGCGTTGCGCCGCAGTCCGGCGCAGTTGCTGCCGGCCTGCGGGTTCCACGCGAGGAACTCGGCCACAGGCACGCCGTACCGCGCCGCCACGGTCGAGCAGCGGTCGCCCGAGACGACGAGGTGGAACTTGTTGCAGTTGCTGACGACGTCTGGCTGTGTCGGCTGCGGCGTCGTGATGCCGTTGCCCGGCGTCGTCGGCGTGTGCCCGATGACGGACACGCAGGCGTAGGCGTTGGGCTTGAGGGAGTTGCAGCCGGCGCCGACGCTCGGGTTCCAGCTGATGAAGTCGGCGAGGTTGATGCCGGCGCTCCGGGCGACGTCGCTGCATGCGTCAAAGGGCTCGATCATGACGAACGCGTCGCAGTTGTCGGCTATCTTGGGCTGCGCCGGCGACGGCGTGGCGATGCCGTTGTCGGGCTTGGTCGGCGTGTGGCCCCACGTCGACACGCAGGCGTAGGCGTTTCGCCGGAGGCCCGCGCAGTTGCTGCCGGCTTTCGGGTTCCACTGGAGAAACTTGGCCACGGGAACGCTGTACTTGGCCGCGATGGTCGAGCACCGGTCGCCGGCGACGACAAGGTGAAAGTTGTTGCAGTTGCTGACGAGATCCGGCTGGGTCGGGGCTGGCGTCTGGAAGTTGGTGCCGGGGTTGGCCGCCGACGGCAGATAGCCAATGGTCGAGACGCAGGCGTACGCGTTCGTCTTGAGGCCCTTGCAGCTGCTCAAGGCACCGGGATTCCACTTGAGGAACGCGTCGACCGGGATGCCAAACTTGGCAGAAATCGTCGAGCACCTGTCGCCGGAGACGACGAGGTGAAACTGGTTGCAGTTGCTGACGACGTCTGGCTGGGCCGGCAGAGGCGTCTGGATGCCGTTGTTCGGGTTCGTCGGCGAGGGCGACCAGCCGATGACGGAGACGCAAGCATACGCATTCGTCTTGAGACCCTTACAGGTGCTCAAGGCAGCCGGATTCCATTCCAGGAACCGATCCACGGGGATGCCGTACTTGGCCGAAATTGTCGAGCACCGATCTCCCGAAACGACGAGATGGAACTGCGCGCAGTTGCTGACGATGTTGGGCTGGACGGGCGACGGGGTCTGGCTTCCATTGCCGGCTGCCGTCGTGCTGGTGGCAGGCACTGTTGACGTGGGCGAGGGGGTCGACGACGTTGAAATCACCCCCGTCTGGGTGGCAGAGAGAGAGACAATGGGGTCTGCTTGTCGACGTCTGCCGGGTCCAGCGGCGGCCGGCCCACCGACGCCGAGAAGGGCGACGATGAAGGCAGTACTGAATTTCATAGCACAGAAGGAGATTTGGTCGAGTCCGATAAGAAAAGGGGCGCTCGTCGGTACCGTTTGGCGCTACTTTACAGTGACTGAGTTCGCCAGCATCTGATACTGGGAGGGCCTGATGATGCGATGAATCAGTCGACACCACGAGTACTTATACAGCCCTGGCGGCACCTTCAACGGCTTTGCTTAGCGCTCAATAGGCTGCCGACCCAATGTCATCTGATCAAACCCATATCGAAAGAGTCACATCCATCACCGACGGCCTGTATAGGAAGGAGAGTCGAGCTGCTCAGCCCTACCGAGGCCTCATACCGGGGACTAGACCGTCCACAACGGTGCCTCAATTTGGCCGAGGGCCTCATTGGCTTGCTGCCTGGACATTTGACCCTGAAAGGACCAACTACTGCAGGGGTTATTCCATTTAGTGGGACGGGCAGAGTGTTGGTGAAGATGAGGGTGGGGTTCGTGAGATACTCTGAGCGCTGCGGCGCCGCCTTTGCCGAGCTGGTCTCGTTTGGGACGCATCCAATATCTGGGAGTGCGGCATGGCAAATCAGGCAGAGCCACCACGGATCGGTCAGCTTCATGGACATACAGCGGGTCCAATCGTTCACCGTGAACGGATGCCGTCTGCGTCTGTCGTGGTGAAGAAGATCTGGGACGAGGCGCAAAGATGGGCAGCGTGAGACCTGAAAGTGAAGCCCTGCGCCGCCAGAACAAGCAGCCACACTTGCTGCGAACTCATCTGCAGAAATATCTGCCCATTAATCGACCCTGAGACGCAGGCTCTCCCCCCGGAGCCACCCACCCAGCAACAGCAAGCATCGCATCCATGGCGGCTCGAGTTCGTCCTGCAGCAGCCAGCCGGGCTTCGCTGCCCCCGACTGGGTGGGGTTGGTGCGCGAGATTGACACGCGACGGACACCCTCATTTCGAGTTGCATCATGTACCTCGCCGCAGCAGAGGCTAGCTGCTCAACGCAGCGCTGTGCCGCAAGCTATCCGGGCCTCATCTCCTTTGACGGATTTGACTTGTGTTCTCGGTTAGCCTTTCACAGCGCTTCTAGACAGTATTTAACCGGGCCATGCCTAATTTATAGGAAGGCACAGGCGTCGGACTGTAAATTTCGGATGATGGGGACCATTTTTTTCACTGCCGTAGAATGCCAGTTTTGAGTGTGAGCTGAACACAATGTCTTGCCGACGAACTCCGGCCAGAAATTTCTGAGAAGCAGTAGCGTGATCGAGATGCCGCGTCATTGAAGACTGGACGTTTCGAAGAATGATGAGACTGTCCGAACTGCGCGCCAGTGGCATTTTCACCGGCTGTCGTCTCGTCGAACCCTATTCAAATGGGTGTGCCTTCCTTTCGTCCGCTTATGACGTGCGGTTCATGATGAGTTGCTTCTATTCTCATGGACTTCGAATATTGGGAAATTGCTCTTTGCTCTTGGCACAACCACAGAGTTGCATTTGGTGTTTGTGTTCGTGGCATTGCACTCGTTTTTCCAGTGTGTGGGCATGATTGAAAGATGGCTCTGTCAACGGAACGGCCAACAGGGTAGATCCAACACGAGGGAAAACGAGTTCACAGATGAATTGTCGCAAAAGTGATTGGTTTCAAGTGTGAAGACTGTCTTCCTGGAAGGTCCCTTTGCGGCCTGGCAAACAATGGCACCGAAAGGCTGTTGACTTCAGTCTCCTCACAACTGAGGCAAAACCACCATGATCAGCCACCCAACAGTGCACTGTTGACAGGAACCCCAAATCACACTCCAGGCCGATGCTGACGTAGGGAAAGCACTATTACTGCGACTCATAGGATCGACCACTTGATGTCAGACCCCGTCAACAATGGCTGTTCCCAGATGGCGTACAGTTCCTCCTGGGCTTCCGGGCCGGCCAATGTTCAACGCAGCCTCCCATCGACTGTCGTGTCGCAGGTCCGCCAGTATGGTGCCCTTTCTGGCAGGCCAGTCCGGTCGAATATATATGCAGGGCTAGGTGCTTCAGCCTCAAGTCGACCCCCGATTCTGTACGCAAGAAGCCGACTCGTCTATGAACTCACCTTCATTCCATTAGCCTTATCTCATATAAGCCCCGCAAGGTCTGATATATTCTGTGCGTTGTGAAACGCATTCCGAGACCATGCTATAGCAAGTTCCTCCGTCTCTCAGATGATCTGGCAACGTTTAAAAGACGTCGGCTGCACAATGATTGCGACACGAGGAAAACGTACTGATCTACTTTTAGTTCAACGGCATGCTTCTCGACCTGGTCAGAGACGACCCAGGCCTCACAGCATTCTTCTCAACTGGGCCTCGGACGAGCAGAATACCAAGACAGCCACGGACGCAGTCCCCGGCGACTTTGACGTCGCCCGCAAGCTGGCACCCGGCAGTTCGCGCCAGACACCGCATGCCACGGCAAACATCATGTGGTGGAGCCCGGAACGGCAGACGGGCAGGGGCGTCACCAAGGCATCAGACATCTGTTTGTTCGGGCTCGTGATGCGTACAACTTTCCGCCGTGCCGAGTTTCTCTCCCACTAACACCGTGGCCGTAGTGTATATATGCCCACGGAGGTGGTGATCTTCTCTTCCTGAACGGGTACAAAGCGCTCGACGCGACGGGCATGACGCCGGAACATGAGATCCTCGCCCGACACCTGGCCTACTTCGGTCCCGTTCCACTAGAACTCCTGGAGCAGGTTGGCCATGAGACCTCGTGTGAAGCTCTGAAGAGAGCGTCGAGGATTGCGGAGATCTCATTGAGAGATCAGCCCAGCCTGAGTGTTGAGTATGGGGGGAATGAGTTGGGCCTGCGCGGCAAGGACATGAGTTATCGCATGACGAATCCGGATCCCGCGACGAGGTTGGCGATCGACCAAATCCTGTCGTATCCGTACTGAGAGAATGGTGGGTAGGTGCTGGGCGTATGGTCCCGAGAAGTAAGGAGTGTTGTGAGAGCCACAGGCCTGGAGCGCGCGGACTGTATTCGATCATGAACGTCTTGTTATCACGCAGTATTGACTTTTGACGTGAAACGTGTGAATCAGTCCAAGGATTCAGCTCGAGCGACATCGACAGGCCTTCAGCCTCATCAAACTGCGAATTCACCTGCATCATACTGTTAACATAAAAAGATGCCAACGTGGATGCCATAGCGCCTTAGCTTTTCGAGCACATTAGGTCTTGCTCATACTTGTTCTCGCGTCCACGGTATCTGTTCTCTATGTGTTTCCTATCTTTGAGAGTATGAAGCAGTTCCATCAAACTGACTCCCATGGCCTGCTCAAGCATGCCAGCATATAGGCTCTTCACCGCCAAGACTTGTCCCTATACCTGCCATTTTATAACAATACCCACTATGTTTGAGGACAAATGACATATTGAGTCGCTTGTATTATCGGGCTTGTTCAGCCCGTAAGGAGTTACTCAGCCCTACTCGAGCAAAGAGTTGTATACATATCATATCTCATTTCCACCAAGTCATCACTCATTTTGATCCCATCCCCAGCATCCCTTGAGTAAATCGCACACCGCGCGCGTCGGCCGGGCATGCTCCCTCTCGGTAGCTCTCAGAAGCGCCAGCAACGCCTCCTGGTCCCTTCTATCCTCAAACCGGTCGCCCGCCGCAGCCACGCCCATGCAGGCCGTGAACATGGCGGGCGGACACCATCGGTTGCAGGTGCCGATCCCACACAAGCTGCGTACAAGAGTGCGCGCCTGGGACGCGAGAGCGGCGTCGGCAGCGCGACGCTGGAGGCCAGTGCGGGGATGGGCGGGATCGAAAAGTGCGAGGTAGAGCTCTGCTAAAATGTGGTGTTGAACGGCGATGACTGGTCAGGTCAGCGATCTGGGCTGCGAACGGACGGTGCTGCGTGACGTGAACGGGAATGAGGCGCGGGAGTTCTACACAGTGATGTGCGTCGCCAGCAGAAATGAGGAGGATACTTACTGTGACAACCTTTCCAGTACCACACTTCCGGAAAGGCCTTCATGGCATCAGCCTCCGCATCTCCAGTCTCGGCAGCATTGAGATCTCTCTCGCGGTAAAACACAGGCATATACGACGCCGGCAGCGCGGCCTTCCAGTTCTTGTTCGCTTCGCGGAGAGCATGCCACCTCGGCCGGTCAGCGTGGTCCGGACCGAAGCAAAAGTTCAGCACGTCTGCGCAGTGCACGATGGCTCGATTTGCCCAGGCATAGTCATCCGCCGGCGTAGTGGACCGGTCGACGACGGCAGGGTGGGCAAGGTTCATGCGCACCGGCTGGTGGTTCATAACAGCACTGTAGATTTCCTGACGGAGCCCGACCCAGAAGCAAGCGGCCGAGAGCGAATGGGGGGAGAGGGGGCTCCTCGGACCAGGATCGGGCGTTGTCGGCGTGGGCGGGGCGGAATGGGGGGCGACAAAGGCGTGGATACCAAGGAGATGGCCGTGGGTATCCTGTCCGAGAACAGGCACGTCCATCTCCTCGAGGACGCGTAAGATGATGGTGGCGGCAAAGAGATTCTCATCTGATACAGTGACGGCATGATCGAGTAATGGGATGAGGTAAGTGAGACACTGTTCGTGGTAACGGTTCGAAGCTAGAGCGTCGTATCGGAGCGTGTGCGCCAGATGACGGGCGGAGAGAGCAAAGATGGCGTTCAGCAGAATGGGGCAGGTCCCGGCTCGGGCAGGAATAGACGTGTTGAAGTGGGCGTCTGGGTCGCAGAGGTCGAGCTGCACTTTCGTTAGCTGCGGTAGCTATGACATGGCAATGCAGAGGGTTGGCTGGTGGGGAAGACAACGTACCCAGATGGACAGCTTCTGGATGTAGTGCCGGAACAGGACGGCCTCTTCACGGCTCTCGATGGGCCAGATGGGGCGGTCGAGGTAGATGTTGGACCGCAGCTGTGCCGCCTGAGCGTCTGGTGTGTGAGAGGCCGAGGGTGGCCGGGACTCTACCGGTGTCTGGCCCGTGGATGCTTGATATGCCGTCTGTGATGCCAGTGCCAAATGTGACGAAGCTGCCGGGTAGGTGGTGGAGGGGTGATTCCACACCTCGTGGGCATCGGAGCTGCCGTTCTGATGGGCGCTGATCATCATGGTGTCCTTGCCCCCCTGGTCTTCCATGTCGTGATTCGTATTGTCCGAATCTTCGACCCCGTCACCCCTCTCGACGACGAACCTCAGTCGACCACCGGGCCGGGGCCACTTCTGTGCGCGACCAAAGGGCGCATGCCGCAGGGCCTTGAACTTGTAACCCTTGACACACTCGCGCCCGCTGGCGGCACACCGCCCACAAGATGGCAGGACACGATCACCTATCTCGTTCGTCAGCTTGGGGGGGCTGCCTTTCAGGCTCGGAGCTTCCCACAAGGTGGAGAAGCGCACGATGGTTCATGACTTACATTTCAGATGCTGCTCCCGACACGGCTCGCTGAGTTTGTATGTAGTCGTCAGCCGGTGCGGCTCTTGAGGAAAGGGGAGGGGAAAAGCACCAAAGGGGATATTCTCGACGAGAATCGCCAGTGTGGAGACCAAGGCAAAAACGGGCGAAATGGGGAGCAGATCAGATCGGACGGATGAGACTCACCATGTGGTCGCACTCAGCGAATCAGCAGCCTCGGGCGTCAGCATCCCTTGGGCGTGAAACCCGCGGGGGAGGGGGGGGGACGTCGTTCAGGCGGGACTGCGCATGGGGGGATGATCTGGGGTCGGGCAAATCTGGGGGTTTTGGTGCTCTGGTTCGTGTCTTGGTTCAGGGAAGAAAAGTGTCTCAATGGGAACGCGGGGAGAATTCACTTGTCAGTGGGAAGAGGATTTGGCCGATACCTCGAGAAATGGGCAAGCGCTGTGAAGCGGCTCGTGGCACTGTGTGACCGGACGGTGCGGGCTATCTGCACTGTAGCGGCCTTCCACCCGGCAAGAAGGCAGTCAGTTGGTACCCTAGTTGGTAGGCAAGTGCAGATTCAAGCAAGGCAAGAAGCACAGAGGGCGTATCTACCGTACCTAAGGTACATGTAGGTAGGCAGGCAGGGTAGGTAGATTAAATTGCCCAGCCACAGAAAACAACCGACGGGACACAAGGCAGGCCACGACGTAACAAGTACCGACTTGCAGGCGCCTCTTTTTTTTTACCCCACACTCGACAAAACAACCCGCGTGCACTGCTCCCTGGCGCTGTCACGAGTCAAGCGGCGGGAGGGGAAACGTTGCAGTGTCTGCCAGCACCAGTCAGAGACAGCGCAATTGGCATCCTCCTCGGTGAAAGGGGCCCCTTGACGCCATGAGGGGGAGAAGGAGAAGAGGGGGAAGGCGAGGAGGCCAGGGGATCGACCTAGTTGGAGATGCCACCTACCCCGGACTTCGTTCCTTCTTTCCTGGTTTTAGCTCCAGACCGACATGAACGTGGGCAGGAGGTACCTGAGGTCCTGCGGTCCTGCACGGGGATTGTCACTCGAGTCGAGCACCCGAGTCGAGCAATGCAGCAGACACACTGGTGGGATCAACATAAATGCGCCTTTCCCCAGGCTTGGAGTTTGGCATCCATCATATCGCCTCTGTGTGCCTTGCTGGACTGCTCCATTTTGTCATTTCATCCTCCCCTCTTCTTTTTCGCCCTGCACCCAACCACGATCCGCGCCTCGGGGTGGAATTGTGGATTGCGTGGAGACCGCTCCTGATAGCGTCCTGGTTTTTTTCGCCAACCTCACAAAGACCCCTCCGGGAATCCGATCACGCACTTTGCACTCGCTCTCCACGCGCACGCGCACTTTTCCCAAACTCTTCGCGACTACCTCACTGTCCCCTCCCTACCCAACAATCAGCCTGTTCGTGAGCACTGGTGTCCGTTCTACGGCGACCAATCGCGTCATCACTTGATCGCTCATCCATCACCATGTCGGAAGACATCAAAGCTGTGGCCGACCATGGCGGCGCCCGCGCCTCGGCCGAGTCCCACGCTGCTGCCGACGATGCCAAAATGTCCAACGCCTTCGTCCAGGGCGCCCGCGACGCCTCCAGCAGGGAACAGCAGATGACGCTCATGCAGGGCATCCGTCTCTACCCCAAGGCCATTGGCTGGAGTATGCTCATCTCGACCTGTATCGTCATGGAGGGCTACGACATTTCCCTCGTGTCCAACTTCTTCGCCTTCGACCCCTTTAAGAAGAAGTACGGCGAGCTGCAGGCCGACGGCACCTACGAGATCTCGGCCGCCTGGCAGGCCGGCCTCTCCAACGGTGTCGCTGTCGGCGAGATCATTGGCCTGTTCCTCAACGGCTACATTTCCGAGCGCTTCGGCTACCGCTGGACCGTCATTGGTGCGCTGATGCTGCTGACCGGCTTCATCACCATCTTCTTCACGGCCCAGAACATCGAGACGCTGCTCGTCGCCGAGATTCTCTGCGGTCTGCCGTGGGGTGTCTTCCAGACGCTGACCATCACGTACGCCGCCGAGGTCTGTCCCATTGCGCTTCGTGGCCACTTGACCACCTACGTCAACTTTTGTTGGGGTCTCGGTCAGCTCATCGGCATCGGTGTCATCACCTCGATGCTCGACCGCACCGATGAATGGTCCTACCGTATCCCCTACGCGCTGCAGTGGATCTGGCCTGTGCCCATCATGATCGGCGTGTACTTTGCCCCCGAGTCGCCTTGGTGGTTGATCCGCAAGGGCCGCGTCGACGACGCGAAGCACTCGCTTCTGCGTCTGACGAGCAAGAATACCGAGACGGACTTCAACGCCGATGACACGGTCGCCATGATGGTGCACACGGCTGCCCTCGAGGAGAAGATAACCGCTGGCGCGTCGTACCTCGACTGCTTCAAGGGCATCGATCTGCGCCGCACGGAGATTGTGTGTCTCGTGTGGGCCATCCAGAACCTCAGCGGCAACTCCTTCTCCAACTACTCGACATACTTCCTCCGCCAGGTCGGTCTGTCGTCGCGTGATGCCTACAGCTTCGCCATGGGCCAGTACGCCATCAACATGGTGGGTGTCTTTGGCGCCTGGAGCTTGATGGCCTGGGGTGTCGGTCGTCGTCGTCTCTATCTCTGCGGTCTCTGTGGACTCTTCACCATGCTGTTCATCATGGGCTTCCTCGGCGAGGTGCCCGAGTCTCAGCGTGACAAGGGTGCTCTGGCGACGGGCAGCATGATGATTCTCTGGGCGCTCGTGTACCAGCTGACGGTCGGCACCGTGTGCTACTCGCTCGTGTCGGAACTGCCTTCGCGTCGCCTGCAGATCAAGACTGTCGTTCTCGGCCGCAACCTCTAGTACGTATCTCCTCGCAGTCTTGTCGATGCCTTTTTTTTTCTTTTTTTTTTTTTTGGAGGGTTCCTTCGCTAACCAGTCGCAGCAACATTGTCGGCATCATCAACAACGTCGTGACGCCGTACATGCTGAACCCTACGGCGTGGAATTGGCAGAACAAGGCGGGCTTCTTCTGGGCGGGTCTGTGCTTCCTCTGCCTCGTGTACACGTACTTCCGCGTGCCCGAGCCCCGCGGCCGCACGTTTGCCGAGCTCGACGTGCTGTTCGAGCACAAGGTGACGGCGCGGCAGTTTGAGAAGACCAAGGTCAACGTGTTCGAGGAGGAGGTGGCCGGCGAGGGTGTTATCAACAACTACCAGTCGCATGTGACGAGCCCCAAGGAGAAGGGCCAGGCGTGAGGTTGATGATGATGATGGTGATGATGGTGCTGAATTTTTCTGCTTTTCTTTCTCTCGATATCGTCGATGTTGGGCGCGCGAGCATTTGGGGCCATGGCGATTTGGCCACGGCCATGATGACTTGATCCGTATTGCGTGTTGGGTACTCACGATCTATTGTCGATGATAGTTAGTCAAAACCATACTACGTACTGTACACACACGATATGATGCTGCATGTACCGGGCTGCGCGATGACGAGACGTCGGGATGATCACGTACGTACCTGAGCAACACCCCTGGCCCAGCCCCGGCGGGATCAGCGACGACTGCCGCTTCCAGAAGGAAGGCGAGGGCGTGTAGGTTTGGTGTTTCGGGCTTCCTCCCGTGCCGGTGAGGAGAAATGCGACCCCTGGGCGTTGGAGAATTGGGGTAGCCGCGCTGCAAGGCGGCGCGGGTGACAGGTGACAGGACCGGGCCATGGGGACGAGGGCCCAAGGCTGAAGGCAGAAGACTGGAGGCTGAAGGCATCGCCAGAGAGGCCCGAAGGCGCGGCGGGTGTTGACTAGGCCATTGTGTGTAACGTCGGGCGACGAGTGACGATCGCCGGTCGATCGGACGACGGCAGTTGAAACGAGAGAAAAAACAACAAAAAAAAGAAACGCAACCGACAAGAGGCACGATACCACCAGGTGAAAAAGGTGTGAGAGGAAAAAACTCAGATCGCGACGCACACTGCAAGACGACAGGTTCGTGGGTTTGCTGTGGGCTGGGCGAGTGGGCACGATGAAGCCATGGCGCCGTGGATGGGAGGGGACTCTCGGGATCCAGGACCTGTTCTCGGGATCCAGGACCCGTTCTCGGGATCCAGGACCTGTTCTCGGGGATCATGTCTCAGCGTGTCGGGAGGAATGACCACGTTGTCGAGAACAAGGCTACATCGCCGAAGACGACAGGCCGAAGCGTTTCCGCTGCCCCACTTGCTTCGAGACGCTAAAATCGAGACATTTTCCCCGACATCCACATCGCGACTGTAAAGACGACCCCGTTTCTCCTTTTGTCTTTCTCCTTTTGTCAAGGCGATCGGCTCGCCCGTCACGATCCCCCTCTTGGAACCACTCACGCTGCCGGCTTTGGTCACACAGGGTCCCTGGCGGGGTGAACCCCGCGCCAGTCGCCCTCGGCGAAGATGGCCCTGTTCGACACGGAAGGGGGGGTAGGACCAGACACGAGGCGAAACGGGCGAGAATAGGAACACGCATGACTTCACAATTGCGGGTAACGAGGCATCGTGTTGGTGGCAGAGCTGTCGTGCGCGCACTTTTGGTCATCTCCACTTGGAAATCTCGTTCGACGGAAGCAACGTCAGAATCAGGTACACGTCGCTGCCATATCGCCCGAGTGGACTTGTTTGAGAAGCGGAACGAGGTTCGGTATAAGAGGATCGAGGAAGGCCTTTCTTGGGGGGGCATCTCGTGCACATCAAACATCATTTTTGTTCATGTTCTTGTCCTACTTCTTCATCGAGGAGAGCATTGTCCAATTCAACGTATAGCCCAGTACACACACACACACACACACACACCATGGTCGCAACACAAAAGCCCTTCTTCCAGGCGCCCGCCTCGCTCGACGCCCACGCGCTCGAGCAGGTCGAGGACGCCATTGACAATGTCAACATCCTCAAGGGCAAGCCCGGCAAGACGGCCAACACAGCCAAGCCCGCGGCGGCGGCATCAGCAGCAGCAGCAACAGCAGCAGCAACACCAACGACCTACGAGTCGTCCAAGTTTGACGCCGAAAAGGACAAGGCGGCGTTCCGGCAGTACGAGTCGGCGACGGACCGCGTCAAGACGTTCTACCAGACGCAGCACGCCAACCAGACGTACGACTACAACATGGCGATCCGCAAGCAGTTCGCCGTGGACCTGTCGCCGGACCCGACGACGCCGCCGCGCGCCGAGCTCTCCGTCTGGGACGCCATGCTCAAGCTCGACACGCTCGTCGACGACTCGGACCCGGACACGTCGCTGACGCAGATCCAGCACCTGCTGCAGACGGCCGAGGCCATGCGCCGCGACGGCCAGCCGCGCTGGATGCAGCTGACGGGCCTCATCCACGACCTCGGCAAGCTGCTCTACCTGCACGGCTGCCCCGAGCAGTGGTCCGTCGTCGGCGACACCTTTCCCGTCGGCTGCGCCTTCTCGCCCAAGATCATCCTGCCCGCCACCTTCGCCGCCAACCCCGACAGCACGCACCCCGTCTACGCGACGCCCCTCGGCGTCTACGAGGAAGCCTGCGGCATCGAGAACCTCGTCATGAGCTGGGGCCACGACGAGTACCTCTACCAGGTCGTCAAGGACCAGTCCACCCTGCCGCGCGCCGCCCTCGCCATGATCCGCTACCACAGCTTCTACCCCTGGCACCGCGAGGGCGCCTACCGCGAGTTCATGGCCCCCGGCGACGACGAGCTGCTCGACGCCGTGCTCGCCTTCAACCCCTACGATCTCTACAGCAAGAGCGATGACGCGCCCACCGTCGACGAGCTGCGGCCCTACTACCAGGACCTCATCGACGAGTACTTTCCCAAGCGCGTCATCCGCTGGTGAGAGTGCGCCGGGGGGGGGAGGACAGTCTGTGAAAAGCGCGTGCCGCTTGGAATGGATGCAGGGGACAAAAAGAATTTACCTAGAAAGCGTTATGTAATGATACCATGATTTTTTTCTTTGAAAGAGCTCGACTGGTCACTACTCTATCCAATTGATGCTCGTAAAATGCAGTGACAATGCATACCCTACCTAGGCAGGCATGTACTTTAGTTGCGAACAGCGAAAACCCTCGAGTATGTAGCGAACCCTCGAGTGAACAGCGAAAACCCTCGGTAAATAGCAGGCAGCTTGCAAAGGCATCGCCCACTGGCCATCCTATAAACACAATAAAGAATCTCTATCAAACATAATCCCCCCCCCTTCTTCACCCGATCTTCGGCGTGCCCGCCTTGTGATACTCCCCCTCCGTCGTGACAGTCGCAACGCTCTCCCGCCTCTCCTTGTCCCCGCTGCGGCTCGCCATGCCCTCGATGCCGAGCCCCACCTCGCCCACGCGCCGCAGCACGAGGAGCAGCGCCGCCCGGAGCTCCGACGAGAGGTTCTTGCCCAGCAGCTCGACGACCATGGGGTAAAACTCCTTGACGTGGCCCTCGAACGCCTCCTCCGGGAACGCCGCGTACCCTTCGAGCACGTCCACGACGACCGGCCGCCACGCCAAGATGTTCCTGTGCTGGCTCTCCTCCTCGAGCGCGACAAAGTCCCCGATGATGTCCTTGCAGAGCGGCACGAGCGCCTTCTCAATGTCCGGCCGCGCCGCCGCCCGCTCGGCGCTGTTGTCGGCGTACATGCGGAACAGAATGGCCACGTACGTCGCCGCCGCGCCCGACTCCTGCTTCAGCAGGTTCGGCGCCTGCTTCATGAACCCTTCGCGCCAGAGGCGCATGCGCAGCTCCTTGTCGGCGTTGAACCGACGCGCGAACAGGTACGACCGCTTGAGGAGCGCCATGAGGGTCAGGAGCTCCGTCGTCGGGATCTGCGCATACACAGTGTCGTTGCTGAACAGCTCGTTGACCGTCTCGATCATGAGCAGCTGGAGCACGCAGCGGGAGATGATCTGGTTGAAGTAGCGCCGGCGCGCGGCCGTCACGACGACGGGCTGCTGCTGCAAGTTGGATGCCGGCTTGTAGTCCTCGAGGGGAGCCTGGGGTAGGTTCGTCGCAGTAGGCGTCTTGAGATCGTCCTCATCGGCGCCCTCCTCGGTAGACTCGGTGGCAGGTGCGTCGGCGTCGGTACCGTTCTTGTTATGGCCGTTAATCTCGAGCGACTTTTCGTTGATTGGCTCCTCCGGGTCGACGACCAGCGGCCCGGTAAAGTCCAGGCCATTGGTGGGCAGCTCGAGCGACGCCGATGAGTTGACGGTTGTCGGCGAGAAGAGTTGCGTGGCCGTTGTCGCAGCAAACAGCTTGCAGAATGACCCCACAATCTCAGTCCAGTGTCCGGCTGTGAACTTCTTGACGTTCTTCAGGATCAGTTGCTGCAGGCAGTTGCTGCCGATGCGCGAGATGGTGTCGTTCTCCTGGAAGATGCACAGAGCGAGCAGCTCGAGGAACCGGTCGAGCATGCACTCCAGAGCTTCGAAGTAGTGCGTGAACAGTGTGATCATGTTGCGCAACGCCTGGATCATCGTCGTCGACAACCAAACGGAAAGTTCCTCGTGGTTGAGCGCACTGTTGAGATCGGGTCTTGAGCGGAGAACCATGAAGATCGGGTTCAGTTGCTGGCGCCAAAGTATGTCCCAGAACTCGGGCGGGAACTCGCCGCCGTACTTCAGCAGCGCCTCAAAGAAGTACTCCAGCGCATTGGATCGCACCTCGAGGTCCTCGCCCGTCATGAGGACATCGTGAAAGGCAAACAGCACGGGGAACCAATAGCCCTCCTCGACTGACGTCTTCGTCTGCGAACGCTGCAGAGCATCCTGGGCTTTCGGGTTCTCGGCCGGCGGCGCGTATCCGTTCTTGTGCGACAAGGGGCACTCTGGCGTCTTGAGCATGCGTGGCATGATCGACTTCAGTGCTTCGAGGGCCTGCAGGCTCTTCTTCTGGTACTTCATGTTCTTGGAGAACTCCGTCAAGCAGACAATCAAATCAGTGAACGCGCCCTGCGATATGACAACGCCAAACTTGGTCTTGTAAACCTGGCTGACGTTCTCGTACGCCAAGTTGACAATGGCCTCGTGCTGCTCGCGCGCGGCCACGGTGAAGACGCCAAACATGGTCCGCCAGCCGGACCGGATGTTGTCGCCGCGGGCCTGGATCATCTGGATCAAGCACCGCAGGACCATATCCTTGACTGTGATGTTCTGGGCGTTCGACAGGATGTGCTCGAAAGGCTTGAGAAAGTCCTTCTGGAACTTGAAACCGGGCAGCTCCTCAATCTCGAGGAAGTTCATCGACAGCTGACGCAGCGAGTCGAGGGCGAAGAAGACAATATTCGTGTTGTTGTGGCAGCCGACGCGGTTGAAGTGTTCGCCCATGACCTCCCAAATGTTCGTCCACTCAAAACGAACACGCGACATGTTGTAATAGGCAATCTCGACAATCTTCTGCAAGCTGTAGGTCCTCGGCGAATCGTTGGAGCCAGAAACGCGAATCTCATCCCAGCTGACCTCGGTCAACGCGCGCGTAAAGTGGACAATGGCCTCGCCGTTCAGGCTGGCCGTGTTCGCGAAGATGCGGTCAACAGCCTTGACGACCGCGTCCGACCGCGCCTCCTGCGCGACCTCGATGGAGAATCCCTGCGGACCGGTGCCGGCGCGCGGGCGACCAGGACGCCGCCCGTGGGTCGATTTGCGCGAATCGTTTGTGCCTTGCCGTTCGAATCGCGCATTCGCCACATCCGGGATGGCATTTTCGTCGACACCGCCAGAAATGAGCTGCAGTCGGTCCAGCTGACTGATGCAGAGCAGGACGTCCTTCCACGATGACCGTAGAAGATCACCCTCGGTCTGACCGAGCTCGAGGATGACCTTCAGAGCCTCAATGTTCTTGGCATGCATCTCCTGTGGGTTGTTGATGTTGGTGATATTCCTCAGAGCCGAGACAAAAGCCTCACGAGGCGTAGAGAGGTCGAAAGAGCAGGCAATCTTGGTAGCCAGCTTCATGCCCTCAAGGCACAGCTTGTTGACCTCAATGTTTTGCGCCTTCTGCATCTGGTTGGACAGAGCCGAGAAGTAGGACATCCAGGTCACGTCGAACATGGGACCGATGTGCTGGAAGGATGTCGCGGGCATGAACTTGACGCCAGCACGCTGGGCATTGCGGCGCTGCGTCTTGAGAAGGTTTTTGAACAGCTGTTCCGACCGCGACGCGATCTCCACAGACTGCTGCACGTAGGCTTCCCTCTGCAGATCCCTGCCCATGTTCGACAGTGCCTGTCCGAGACCTGCGGCGATACCTGTTGACGTCGGCGGAGCGTTGCCCGCCATGGCGGCAGCGTCCCGCTCGCTCTTGAGAACAATCTCGTTGCTCTCGATCTCGTCGTAAATTTGAAGCAGATATTCGGGCGGCAAGTCGGCATCGTCGTTGATGCCACGGTTGTTCTTGATAAAGTCTTCTTTGCTCATCCGCCTGGCGATCTTGGTGCTGTGCAAATCGGTATTCAGGAGAATGACAGAGTAGGCCAAGACGTAGGCCGTGTCTGCGTTGGCGAATGCATTGGGGTTGCCCATGACGTATCGGTTCGCAAACTTGAGCATGAAACGATCAATCTTTTGGGCCTCACCAGGGAGACGGAACGATTGCAAGAACGTACGCAGCGCGTCCACGAAGCGCCTCTTGGTAAATTGCATGGTGTCGACAAAGGCGTGCATGATCTCAATGTTCTTGGGCTCGCCCTCGCCGAGATATTCACCGATCTGGGCCTTGTCGAGACGATCTTCCTGGATGAGGAACTTGGCAATGTCTTCGGGGCTGTCGCTTGCGATGAACCCTTCCTTGATCAGCATGGCGATACCTCTCTTCGGTTTGAAGTTGAACTGTTTGATGGCGTTGTTGAGGGCCGTTTTCCTCTGCTTCACCTTTTCCAGGTGGGCGGGGTCGTCCTCAAACATGGGCGTACTCGGCGCTGTAGGGGTGTCAACACGAGAGTGGCTCTCGCTCACGCTGGGGTCGATCGACGGTCGCAGGTCCTCAGAAAGTCGGGCGTCCACATCGCCATCGGCACGGAGCCCGTCTGTATTCCTGTCTGTCCTGACAGATCCAGACCAATCGACCATGGAGCGCAGCGACTCGACGAGAGCGTCCAACGCAACGCGCTTGATGACGTACTCCTTGGGAATCTCCGACTCGGGCTCGGCATGCGGGACTATCTGCGCGACAGACAGAGGCGGTGGCAGAATGGGGCGAAGCTGCCACTCGCCGGGCGACGGCGTCCTCGCGGCCTTCTCTTCATACTGCTGCTCCTGGCCGGGTGTGATGGGGACTGCTGCTGTCGAGTACTTGGACAGATCCTCAATGATGGTCTGGAAGAGATTGTCGACGTTGCCTTCGCAGTCGTAATTCAGATACACCTCAACAAGACCCCTCGAGTCGGCGCAGAACCTGTTGAGAATGGTGACGACCGTGGCCTTCTGTGAGGCCGGGGCGGTCCGCCTTGCCAGCAAGGCAAGATAGATCTCGTTCAAAAAGACGGCAATTTCGAGCTGATAAACTGTCAGTGCGGCGCAGGAGCACAGCGATGGAGGAGGGCACGCACCTTGAACTGCTCCCGCATGAACTTGAGCACGAGCCAGAAAATCTCGGCGCAGACAGTAAAGATGCCATCGACCGAGCTAGCTCCGTTGCGGGTCACGCTCAGGCAGATGTAGTACTTGATCGCTTGTATGAACGTCGTCACTTCGTCGGTCCGGGAATTCCTGATGGTACAAAGGGGGGAGGTGAAGACAGTAATGTTGTTGTTCATGAGGGTATGGATGAGGTGGAGGGAGATGAGCTTGGAGCGCATGGGCTGGCCGCGGACCTCGTACAGCTGCTCGGTAGGCAGGACCTTGGTGGACAGGTTGCAGAAGGATCGGAAGACGAGGTAGGCGTCGCGGATGTAGACCTCGTCCTCGGCTTCGAGCTCGTCGTAATTGTCCTCTTCCTTGGCCGACGACTGCGACTCGGTGCGCTCCATCTTGGCCGGCTTGATCTGGGTGACCATGGTAGGGCCTTCGCCGAGGGTCGAATCGTCAAAGCTCTTCCTCGTCTCGAGATCCTTCAGGGTCAGCTTGGCCTGCGTGGCCTGGGCATCGGGGGCCGGCGCCGGCACGGCGGCCACATCGCTGGCGACGTCGTTGGCGCTGTCCTCCTCCTCTGCCTCGGCACTCTTCTCTCCCGATCCGTTGACCGAGTTGGCTTGTTCGGCGGGGTCGAATGTGATGTTGCTGGAGCTGTTCTTCGTGTTGGCCAGGTTGAGGCGCGCCTCCTTCATGTGCAGTCGGGTCTTGACTCGCTCGAAGACGGTACCGACCATCTGCGTCAGAGTGCCCTGCGCCATCTGCTGGTTGGCAGTGCTCCGCGACAGGAGGAAGACGTTGTAGACCTGGCGCACGGCCTTCAGGAGGCCGGCGCCGTGGACGACGATCTTGTCGTTCAGCACGGCGGCCAGCAACGACTTGACGATCTGCAGCTGTATCTCGACGGGGGTCGTCTCGCCCTGGAAGCATCCGCAGATGGTATCGATGGCCCGCTCGATGAGGGGTGGTGGCTGCTCGCCGTCGGTCTCCTTTTCTCCCCCACCATCTTCGGAAGCGGCGGCGGCCGGGGGCGCGGAGAAGTGTGAATAGGAAATGAGTTTTCCGATGCAATCGAGGGCGCTCGTGATGAGATGGGTGTTGCCCGTCTTGGTGGCCTGGTGCAGAGGCGCAAAGACGACTTCGGGGTCGGGCAGCTGGGGGTCGGCTTCTTTGACGGCTTCGAGGGTCTTTTGCAGCGACTCGGAGAGCTGCTTGTGTCGCTGGGCCTCCTTGGATGCGGCGATGGCCTCCAAGGAGGCGACCAGAAACTTGACGGAGCTCATGAGGGAGCACTGGAGGATCAAGCGGCCATTCGTTCCGGGCGCGGGCAATGTCCAGCAAAGGAGCCTTTACTGTCGGGAGGTAGGTCAACGACGTGGGAGGGGCTCGCAGGAGGCGCAAACTTCTGGGAGCTGTGCTCGACTAGGGGTACCTAGGCTCGACTCGAGATGATGGGGGGGCAGACGGAAAGGCCAGCGCAGTCGAGGAAGCTGCAGCGAGGGCTCTTCGTCTTCGAGGAACTCTGCTGTCGGAGATCAACAGATGAGATTGGTGGTGCGGATGTGTGTCCTGTCCTCGAACGAAACCCAAAATTAATTATTTGGATCGAGGCTGGACCCTGGCGTCTGCTGCTTGCTGCTTGCTGCTTGCTGGCTTGTGCAGGCTGACTGTGACGAGCCAGGCCACAGCTCAATGGGTTCGGGTCTTCCATATCGGATTCGAACACGACGCAAGAGTCCGTGCACCGACGCAGCTCATCTTAGTCAGCCGAATAGGAGAAGTGGGCCAGCGGGACGCGTCAAGGTCAACCCAAGCAAGCGTAAGGCGTCAAACGCGTGTAGCGATAGGCGCGGCTTGTCTTCTGACTCAACAATCGAATCGCCTGGCTCCTTCAGTGATTGGGCCATCCATGCAGTGTTACATGTACAGGCCCACAAACCACGATGACCTGTCTATAGGTACCTCTGGTAGTGTACCTCATCCTCTCGCTCTCGGTCAAATCAGCACCGGCCGGCCCAAGACGGGAACCACGCCCTGACGCCGCGCCCTGGAGTGACCGTGAGACCAATGAGAATAGCGAGGACTCCCTTCAACTCCATCGCCGACTGTCGGCCCCCTTCATGACGTCCGCTGACCGGGGCCGGCAGTCTGTCTGCGGGGGAAAGCTACAAAGCCCCTCCATGGACAGGACATGCTGACCCGGATTGCATCCCTACCTTCATCGTCTATCTCATCTACCACTGCCCGCCATGCAGGCCGCCAACAAGCTCAAGTCTGTCTTCACCAAGGGCGCCGGCGCCAGCTTGGGCGTCTGGCAGATGATTCCCAGTGCCAACGTCTCGCGTGCCCTCGCCAAGAGCCCCGGCGTCGACTGGGTCATGGTCGATTGCGAGCACGGCAACATTGACGGCATGCCGCACGATGCTCCCGCACACGGGTCACGTCGTCGCTGACAAGCACACAGATCGGGCCATGCACGATGCCGTCCCTGCCATTGCCGCCGCCGGTGTCTCTCCCATTGTCAGAATTCCCGACATGCAGGCGTCCCTCGTGAAGCGTGTGTAGCTACCAGTTTTTCCTTCACCAACCACCAACCCACAGGATCCTGACTAACGATCACCCGCAGGCGCCCTTGATTGTGGCGCCCACGGCGTACGGCCGCCCCCTCTCGACTCCCAGACGCCGACTCTGCTGACACGACGACAGGTCCTCGTGCCCCTCCTGCGTACCGCCCAAGAGGCCAAAGATCTGGTCCAGGCCGCCAAGTTCCCGCCGTGGGGCCGCCGCGGCTTCGGCTCGCCCTTTGCCATGGAGCGCTTCACCCCGGCCCCCAGCATGACCGAGTACCTGCAGCAGGCCAACGGCAGCCTCCTGACCATGGTGCAGATTGAGACGCAAGAGGCCCTCGACGCCGTGGACGACATTGCCGCCGTCGAGGGCATCGATGTTCTTTTCGTGGGGCCCTTTGACCTAGGTACACACACTTTCCCCTCCATGTGAAGAGCGCCTTGTCCTGACGAGAACGCAGCCAACAACATCGGCCACCCCGTCATCGACGGTGTCATGAAACCCGAGCTGCACGAGGCCATTGCGCGCGTCTTGGAGGCCACCCACAAGGCGGGCAAGAAGGCGGGCATCTTTTGCACGTCGGGCGAGCAGGGCAAGCAGTATGCCGAGCAAGGCTTCGACATGATCAGCGTGGCGACCGACTTTACCATGTTGCAGCATGCCGTGGCCGACGCCGTCAGCGTTGCGCGCGATGGGCCGCGGCCGGCCAAGGGCACGTCGTACTGACGTGGTGCTCTTCGAGAAGAAAGACACCGCTAGGTACCACGCCGTGCGCATAGTCTCTGTAGATGAACGCGCATACAGCATTTCGATGCGTTGCTCCAAGGTGTGATGCTTCTTGATACTCTGCGTTTGAATTCCGCATCACTGTCCTCGGCAAACATTTCGGGTTCGGCAGGATTCTCAGGGGAGAAGTGATTTGCAGAGCAGCATTACTTGCGTAAAGCGAATACTCCTTGAAGAAGCTGCACCCTCCTTTTGGCTGAGGCGAACCGTCGAGCGGTGCTGAAGAAATGGCATTTGCATGATGTATCATTCACAGTGTAAAGAACCATCTAGTGCTCCCACGTTCACTCACTGCTCTGAGGACTATTGACTGGTTTGAAGTATAAATGCTGAGGTTGAACCCGTTCCTGAACGAATTCAACAACCACCACAACGATACCTTCACCCAAAATAGACGCCCTCCCGGAAGTCCAAGAAGCGCATCGGACATCGAGCTGTTTGCCGTCACAGTCACGAGACCCATCGTCCGGAGCAGGTTCATGGAATGGCCTCGTTTTCTATCTACCTAAGGTAAATAGGTAGGTAGGCAGGTAGGTAGGTAGCTGTGGCAGGCGCTGCGGTGAAATACAAGACCGTCGTACAAGAAAAGAAGGATTGGCTCCGAATTGATCCGAAGTGGAGCCTGCCGCCCTGCAGCTTCCGTGAATTTGTCGGGGTGCGCTAAGGCCCAAAACGGCATAGCGCCTCAAGCTCCGTTCCCATCGGACGCCGGTGCGAGCTCAACGCAAAAAACTGCCAGCCCCAACTTCACCCTTGGCCTCGCCTTCTGTTTCCGAGCCCATCGCCTCGAAATATCCCGCGTCGCTTCTTCTCCTCCCATCTCCCTTCCCCCCCTCCATCCGCCCTCTTCAGTCTGACCTTCAATTGCTGTCGGTCAATTTGTCCGGAGCCATTCTGACTCTCTTTCTTGGGGTTTGATCCAGCATCCTCCGTCACCCCTCAGCTCTCGCTCTGTCTCCTCCTTCCGGGTGATCTTTACCCCATCACCAGAACCATCAACACGACGACCACAAATCCGACACAATGATCTCCACCGTTCTGCGAAGGCGTGTCCTGCCTCAGGGCCTGCGCACCAGCCTCTCCACCCACATCATCCGCTGCTATGCCTCGTACCCGCCGCACACCGTCATCAAGATGCCCGCCCTGTCACCCACCATGACCGCTGGCGGTATCGGCGCCTGGCAGAAGAAGGCCGGCGATTCCATCGCGCCCGGCGATGTCCTGGTCGAGATTGAGACGGACAAGGCCCAGATGGACTTTGAGTTCCAGGAGGAGGGTGTTATTGCCAAGACCCTCAAGGAGAGCGGCGAGAAGGATGTTCCCGTCGGCAGCGTAAGCCTCCCATTTTCCCCTATGCCCATGCACTGTCATGCAGCCTCGCGCGTTCCAAGCTAACAAGTCAGCCCATCGCCGTCCTTGTCGAGGAGGGCACCGATGTCAGCGCCTTCGAAGGGTTCTCCGCCGCCGACGCTGGTGGTGATGCCCCGGCCCCCGCCCCCAAGAAGGAGGAGAAGTCCGAGTCTTCCTCCTCTGCCTCCGAATCCGCCCCCACGCCCGCGCCCGAACCCGAGGACAACGGTCCCGCCGGCAAGCTCGAGCCCGCCATCAACCGTGAGCCCAACGCCTCCATTGGTGCCGTCCGCCTCGCCCGCGACAAGGGCGTCAAGGTCGCCGACATCAAGGGCACCGGCAAGGGTGGCCAGATCACCGAGGAGGACGTCAAGAAGGCCGCCTCCTCGCCTGCCGCCGCTTCCGGCTCCGCCTCGGCCGCCTACGAGGACATCCCCATCAGCGGCATGCGCAAGACCATTGCCAACCGCCTGCAGGAGTCTGTCCAGACGAACCCCCACTTCTTCGTCACGAGCTCCATCTCCGTGTCCAAGCTCCTGAAGCTGCGCCAGGCCCTCAACGCCTCGAGCGAGGGCAAGTACAAGCTGTCCGTCAACGACTTCCTCATCAAGGCCATTGCCGTCGCCTCCAAGAAGGTGCCCCAGGCCAACTCGAGCTGGCGCGGCGACGTCATCCGCCAGTCCTCGACCGTCGACGTCTCCGTCGCCGTCTCGACGCCCACCGGCCTCATCACCCCCATTGTCACGGGCGTCGAGGCCCGCGGCCTCGAGTCCATCTCCTCCCAGGTCAAGCAGCTCGCCAAGCTCGCCCGCGACGGCAAGCTCAAGCCTGAGCAGTACCAGGGTGGCACCATCTCCATCTCCAACATGGGCATGAACCCCGCCGTCGACAACTTCACCGCCATCATCAACCCCCCTCAGTCCACCATCCTCGCCATCGGCACCACCCAGAAGGTCGCTGTCCCCGTCGAGAACGAGGACGGCACCACCGGCTTCGAGTGGGACGAGCAGCTCAAGGTCACCGGCAGCTTCGACCACAAGGTCGTCGACGGTGCCATTGGCGCCGAGTGGCTCAAGGAGTTCAAGAAGGTCCTCGAGAACCCCCTGCAGCTGCTGCTGTAAGGTGCTTTCGAAGCGAGATGGACAGAACAGTGTGGAGGGGAGTTGGAGAGCCTCCGGCGCGAGGTGGCAAAGACCCATCGGGCCGTCTCCCGCCTTTTGGAGATGATGTGAAATATACAAAAGGTGTACGGCGGGTCGGAGGGCACAGAAAGAGAATGTGTATGTGGGAAAGAGAAGTGAATTGAGGGTTGTGAGAGAGAGAGGGGCCAGGCGCTTGCATGTCTTATCGAGAAACGGCTTGCTTGGCTCGGCTCAGTGGATAGAAGGTTTGCGCACCGCCGTAGCCTGCGTCCCGTGTACAGTGATCTCTGGTTAATGCTGCGGTTTGCTCTGCGGAAAAAAAGAGGTTTTCTGTCTTGTACATTGGTGTTCCCTCTCCCTTTTCCCCTTTACCTAGAATACAAGCAGAGGCCGTTCCGTTGCAATCAATCTTGTCCTTTATCTGAATGTGCTGGCTG